TCTTAGAGTCAAATTAAATGGGCTGTATGGCTCAAAGGAGAACATATACCAGGCTTTTGTACCTACACTGTAAATGTTAGAAGATAAATTCAGTGTTGTTTTTGTACCTTTCAGTCCAAAGAAAATATAGAATATCACTAGAACTCTGTATTAAAACATCTTAGACCACGTGGTGAATGATGAATGAACACATGCTTCATTGTGGACGGTCATTCCTGTGTGTGCATGCGTGCGTTGTGTGTGTGTGTGTGTGTGTAGCATTCTTGGATGGGTCAGTCTGTAGTGGAGAGTCTCCTCCTTCATGTCGCTGCAGACTTTGGGATGGTCTCGTGAGGCACGTTGTCCTCATCCAGCAGACTGTGCGCTCGCTCGCTCGCTCTGAGTCCAGCTCTGCAGAAAGGCAGACGGGTAGAGGCAGACGGGTAGAGGTCGACAGGAAGGGCGTTAAGTGGACAAACTGTGTGTCCAAGTGTGTGTGTGTGTTTCCTTCATCCCTGGTGTTCCATGTAAGTATCTGCTGCAGCTGTATGTTTGTATTTCTATCCGATCTGGTTTCTTTATTAATGATGAAGCTGAAGGAGGAGGAAGTCGTTCTCTGACATGGTGGAGTGGATTCAGTCGAGCTAGTTTGATGACTGTGTCTGCTTTTCAAAGTTTTAAAAAATATATATTTATGGGGCATTTTAGCCTTTATTGGACAGGACAGCTGAAGAGAGACAATGGTTTGTTGGGAGGAGAGTAGGGGATGACATGCAGCAAAGGGTCAAGGTCATATTCAAACCCACTATAGCTTCTGTACATGGGGCGCACAACATTACCACTAAGCTATCCGGCACCACCGTGACTGTGTCTGTATATGTTTTGGTTTACGTTTTCTGACTGAAATGTCATCAAATAATTGAACTTGTGAGGACTTCTTTAAATCAAAAGAGGTCAAATGTTTGTCCCTCCTTGTCTTTTTTTGAGTGTTTGTCATCATTTTGAAATATTAGTTTTTATCAATACTTTGCTGACTGATCACATTCAGACTTGGGATTTTATAACTACTGACAAAAGGAGTTTTGGCAGCTTAATTGATGAGAGCAACCTTAATGTGAGGCCCCGCCCCTTATTGGGTGACAGCAGTCACAAATGATGTGCTGTACATTTTACAGTCTGATTGTTAAACCTGAGTGCTCACATTGACAGAAGTTGAAGTCAGATTAGAGACGGGTGATATGACCTCTCATTCATATCTAAGTATCTTTTTTAGATTTTTCCAGTAACTGTATAATGTTACAGGGGCGTTCGTGGCTCAGTTGGTAAAGTCGGTTGACTCTCAACTGGAAAGTCGGGGGTTCGATCCCCAGCTCCTGCTGGAGGTATCCCAGACGGTAAAGGGGTATAGAAAATCCATATAAAGAACTTTAAGGTGTTAGAGATTGTTGTGAATGAATGATTGTAAAACGTTCTATCTATTTAAACAGCAATGCACTTCTCAAAAGTTGTCAGTTTGACAGAATGTTTTGTCTATGAGTAGTTTTAGTGTCCAAGAGATTAAAGTTTGTAACAGAGGTTTTCTGTTTAACCCAAAGCTCAACAGGCCGACGGGGAACAGGGAGTTCAATTAGATTACTGTTAATGTGCAACTGACAAAGACTGTCTGTGTGTGTGTGTGTGTCTGTGTGTGTGTGTGTGTGTGTGTGTGTGTGTGTGTGTGTGTGTGTGTGTGTGTGTGTGTGTGTACTAGCCTTGCCACCCCCACCTGTTAGACAAAATGCACATTCTTTTCAAAACCCCACCCACTTACTCAATTAGTTAGGCAACCTACACACACAAAAGCACACACTTGTAGCAGCCTTGACCTCCCCTCCTCTCTCTTTCTCTGTCTCTGTCCCTCTCTTTCTCTGTCTCTTTCTATCATATTTGATTCAGGTTAAGATCTCTGCCTGCTCTAGAGGTCAGTCCCCCACCCTGCAAGGAGGAAGAAAGGGAGAGGGAGGCAGGGGTGGGAACCGATGATTCAGAGAGACACTTGGTTCTTTTGGAAGATGAACCTGTAGAGTCAAAATTATCAAAAAGGAACCCAACCCAAACTTAATATTTGTATCGATATTACAATGGAATATTTTCGTACTTATAAACTGATGCAAATGTTACAATAACAATAGGCCTACTTTTTGTTATTCTTTGAAACATTCTAGCCATAATTAATGATTTTTACAGACACTCCATTATTATGTGGCACTGTCACAGTATCAAACGCTCTTGCTGCTCAAAGTGTTCAATACCAGGACAACCCGACCTTTTTGTCCACTGATTGAACGATCTTTGCACACATTTGGTTTTGTTTACAAATTCTGGTCCTCTTTGGAAAAGTGCAATATGAAAACGAACCGCACCAAACCAAAACAGAAACAATGTATTTGGTCCGGATCAAAGAAAGTGAACTAAAGGACTTTCCTGGTGTGAATACACACTAACACTACCTACAGTCACAGGACGATGAAGGTGAGGGTCTCACTGAGCAGAAGCAGAGGAAGATCACGTCTTCTACATGTTTAGCACAGGGCTGGGTGATATGGTTTATAATGCACATGGATTATAAATCTGTGGGCACGGATTGGCAGTCATTACTAGATATTGCAGAAAAAAAGCGACGCATAGCAGGGAAGTAGTTTATCACTAAGCATTGGTTACACTGCCTGTCACTCCCAGAGGTTTTATTATTGTCAGACGAAAGTCGAAGGATTTAGATATTTATTCCCAGAAGACTTTTTAGAGCGATGCAAGATGTTGTTTTAGTTCAAGATGATGGTGTTCAGGGTTGGACTCGGACAGTGTTTGGTTTCATTTAAAGTAATAATGTAAAGCTGCCCTCAAATCAGACGTACAAATGTGTCACCAACATAAGACACACATAAGTCAAGTGGACTAGGGCACTACAAGGACGTCAGCATCGATCCAACAACAAAGAGCTCAAAACTCTTTAGAGGTGTTAAAAAAGTTTGGTGGGATCTGTGTGATTCAGGGTCCAGCATTGTTATAACATTGGTGCATTTTTCATTTGGTTCGGTTTGCTTTCACGCTCCACTTTGTCAAGCCGTATCGCCGGTCAGTGGCTGCTGCCATCCGGTCTAATGCCGCACTATGACCTGATAGTAAACAACAAGACAGTGGAAGAATGGCATCATTAGCACGGCACAGTTAGACTGTTTGATCCATAAAAGTAGAAACAGTAATATGTCGGCTCTGCCAGGTTAAACTGGCATATTGACCACATATAGCACAAAAATGTGGACGTTAACCTGCAAGGAGGACTAAAGGCTGGTGTTGTTAGCAATGCTAACGTTAGCCACACTCGTCAAACCGATTTGAAATAGTTTACATGTTTCTTAAATACCAGTACTCCCTGTTTCTACCAGGCCTGTCCCCGACTAAAGATTGACATTGTTTGACCTGAATCATCAGATTTGACCTCTTTGTAAAATTAGAAATTAAACACCCCCCATAGAGCTGGAAAGGAACAACCCTTGTGCTCGACTGTGAGACTGGCAGTCGACTGAGGCTCTGACGAACAAATCGTCAAGTACTCGGCTGTATGGGGTCATCCCTAGTTTCTACTAAGGGTTTTGAAATTGTAGATACTTTAACCCGGGTGGTTTAAAAATTATACCGTCTCTGTTTTAAATAGTAATGGAAAAAGTACCAAACTTTTTACATTTTTTAAAGTATGTCTTTTTCATAAGACAATTATAAGACAAGCTTAGAAGAGGGATGTAGAAACTTAAATTACTCAACACTGGGGGTCTATTACTTTTTGTTTTCTGTCCGTGGTATAGAAACAGGAAGGCCTGCCCACAAAAATGGCTTGGCCCCTGATAGGCCCAGTGCGCGGGCCCTTGTCAGATTTTAATTCACAATATCAGCGTATGTATTTCAGTGTGTCCTTGTCCTGTCTGCAGTTGGGACAAACCATTAAAAAAAAGTGTTTACATTTTGAAAGTGGCTACATTTGACTGAAGGTTCAATCAATAATTTTGAGTTTTAGCATTTAGAATACAATTCAGTGATATTTACTTTAATTTAGGATGGACCATGTGTTGATGACCTCCCCATGCTGTCAGGCCCCCAGAAAACTTTCCCCTCTTTACCCCTTTATGGGCAGCCTTGGAAATTAAAAAAATGAATATCGTCTGATCTTTACTTGTTGTGTCGTATGGAAATTGAAGATTCAGGAATCATGACCACCTTAGTTTCTACAACATCACTGTACATGGCTCTCTTCTCTCTGATACAGCCGACCCTGAACATTCAGATTAAAGAGCGAGCTTCTGACCTGAGTGGTTTAAGGGAAATTGACCTTTGCATATTCTGTACTGTGGACTGTTTGTTTACTCATGGAGTGAGTGGTCTGAACACGTTTTGAGTCAAAAATGTTCTGAGACCAAAAATACAAACCCAAGCTTTGTCTGACTGACAGCACTGGCTGTTGGGGCTCGTCTTTGTGTATGTTGTGAAAAACAAAAGTGAAAACCCACAACCCAACCCATGGATATACTTTTTTTAATTTGGCTAAGAATTTTCAAGGAGTTTCTGACAACAAGACTTTGACTAACTGGTTGAATCTTAGATGAAAGGTTGTTATAGAGTAAGGAGGATAGTGACACATATGGTTGTATCAGGGATGAAAGTTCTAATTTTAACCAGAGGGGGGCAGAGTTTAGTGATTCATGGTCAGAATGATGGTCATCCATCGTCAGAATGCCATTGCCCTAGCATTGGCAGCCCAATAGTAATCTTTAAATACCTGAAGACCCAAACCAAGGAAGGCCATAAGGAATGGTGCAATATTTAAAAACCTTTGCATTCATGCAACTAATAGTCCACGTTCAAATATATAAATATCTGTACAGTCTGTGATCTGGCTGCAGTACTTTACGGGTGCTGATGATTCCAAACTTTGACCACACAGCATGGTTAATGACCGGGCACTTTCTCCTTTGTCTCCTATCCTTCAGTTTGTCCAATGGGCAGCAGCAGCAGCAGGTTGTTTGGCACATTAGCCCAATCACTGAACAGCCCCCCCCTGGCCCAACCAGACCTGTACCCAGAGGAGAACCCAGACGAGGACCTGGACCAGGGCCTAGCTGAGATCGACCCTGACCAGCTGCTCAGGGAGTGCGAGGAGGCCCTGCAGAGTCGTCCAGCCCGTCCTCACAGAGACCTGGTCTTACCAAGTGGCTTGGCGCCCTGCCGCCAAAAGCACAACCCCTCCATACGGATCATGCAGTGGAATATACTCGCACAAGGTAGAGATCTCACAGATATTTCTCTGGATTTCAGTGACCTCAAGAAATGTTCAGACACAGTGGTTTATTTAGACATACTAACAATATGTCACTTAAGATGGAAATTCACCATCCATTTTCCTCAGTCGTCAGGCTCATGTTGGGAAGCTTACATGTAATACTACTGATTTCATCAGCACATAACTGCTTACGGATTGATCAGCAACTGAAAAGACAACTAAAAGGTCAAATCTTTGAAGAGAAAAACACCATATTTGACAACGCTTTGGATACCTGGACAAAAGGTTACCTCAGCTTTATGGATCGATTTGAACACACATGGTCTCCCTTAGGGGAAGCCTGCTGATCTACCCATGACCTCTGTAGGTTTTAGTGGGGCATTGTGATGATGGCCTTCCAACTTTGGACTCGTCAATATTGATGTTCCCCTTAAAGATTAACTGACAACTTTGGTTATTTGTTATCGTCTTTAACTTTGGTCAGGATTTTAATATGTAAAATAATTTGGTTATGGACTTAATATTCATCCTGAACTGTGATTTATTCACGTCTGCAGTCTAAAGTCTATATGAAGCATTAGTATTTAACATAAAGCTTCAATGTGCCTTAAAGCAGCTTCACAGATCATGACTGCAGTCCGTCTAAAACTGATTGAGGACAACTGCAAACATTATGTTGTTTCCAATCAAGCCAACAGATGCCACAAAAAGGATCAGGGAAATCTTCCTTTTCAGTGTGCCCATCATTGATTACAGTCCAGCTAGCACCTGGACATGCACATGGCAAGAAGGGAGTTAAAATAAAGTGAATGACTCTACAGATATCTGTTTAAAGAGATTTATTACGAGGCACATAAGATTCTGATGATAGCAGAGGGGTTCCAGGATTGTATTATAGCCAATGTATCTGCTCTCTTCTGCATGGACTGTGTTCTCAAATATAACCACACATCAAAGCTCACACAAACGCAATTAGTCAAAAGTGCTCACAGTACAAACACAAACCTCAACAATTCTTACTCCAAAAATCTTGACCTGTGTCGACAGATATCTGGACTCATGTGTAAATATCTTCTTTTTTTTTTTTTTTTTGGTATCGAAGTAATTCATTTAAATGAAAACATCTCTCCGTCTCTTCCAGCTCTGGGCGAGGGGAAGGACGGGTTTGTCCGCTGTCCACTGGACGCTCTCAATTGGCAGGAGAGGAAGTACCTGATCCTGGAGGAGATTCTCACCTACCGCCCTGACATCCTGTGCCTCCAGGAAGTAGACCACTACTATGACACTTTCCAGCCAATCCTGGCCAGCCTGGGTTACCAAGGCACCTTCCTAGCTAAACCGTGGTCTCCCTGTCTGGACGTAGAGCAGAATAACGGTCCCGACGGCTGCGCTCTGTTTTACCGCCGCTCCCGCTTCTCCTTGCAGTCCACAGCTCACCTGCGGCTGTCGGCCATGATGCTGCCCACCAACCAGGTAGCCATCGTTCAGACGCTGTGCTGCCGTCTAACGGGTCAGCGTCTGTGCGTGGCTGTCACACACCTGAAAGCCCGTAGCGGCTGGGAGAGGCTGCGTAGTGCGCAGGGTGCCGACCTCCTGCAGAGTTTACGCAGCATCACGTCCCGCTGTGGCAGCCGCGGCGATAGCGAGGGCACTGTCCCTCTGGTGGTGTGCGGGGACTTTAACGCCGAGCCCTCTGAAGACGTTTACAGACGCTTTAGCTCCTCCCCTCTCGGCCTAAACTCGGCATACAAGCTGCTGAGCTCCGATGGACAGACAGAGCCCGCCTACACCACGTGGAAGATCCGCCCCTCAGGAGAGAGCTGCAGCACTCTGGACTACATCTGGTACTCCCGTGATGCTTTAAGTGTGGATTGCCTGTTGAACATTCCCTCGGAGGAGCAGATCGGCCCAGACCGCCTCCCCTCTTATCACTACCCCTCTGACCATTTATCGCTGCTGTGTGACATCAGCTTCAGGGAGGAGCCTCATAGGTTGATGTAGGCGGCCAATCACAGTGGCCCTGGACCAAAAGGAGGACTGAGTGAGAAAAACCTTTGCTGCAAACCAGAGGAGCAACCTGACCGTGACATCATCACCTGGTTTCTGTCAGACAGCAGAAAGTGGGCGGAGTCATTGGGGAGGGAATAAACCTGATTGGAGTTTTGATTATCAGCATCATGAGACTGATGTGAACCCTCAAGCTGTGTTCAGACCAAAAGTGAAATCTAACTTTCAAACAATAAATAAACACATGAAGTCAACTCAAAGATGAAAGTAGCAGCAGGCATCTCAAAAACACAAATTAAAAAAAAAAAATCACCTAACGTTAAAAGGTCACCGATTTCTCAAAAACAGGTCATCAAACTGGGACCTGGTACTGATCCTAGCTAACAGGTCTTTAAACTGGGACCTGGTACTGATCCTAGCCTACATGTTGAAAACGTTTGGCCTGAACACAGCTCCACAAACCTGTGTCACCTGAAATGAGACACTGTGATGTTACTCTTGCCGAACTCTTTGATCCTTGGACTTGTTTAGAAGTGGGCGGCGTTAGGAGTCACACTGGAGCCCGTTGGCCTCCTTTGTGTTTTAAAACTAAATGTCATGTTTCATTTCCTGTACTTCCGCTGAGAAGGCAGCTAAGAGGTTCATCTGCAGTTATTTATTGTTTTTAAAAATGCACATTAGACTTTTGTTACTTAATTTTATTAATTTATTGTTTTAACTTTCCATCAGTTGTTTATTTTCTCACCAGTGTTTTAAATCTTATTTTCTTTAATTGATGGTTCTTCTGAATGACGACGTCGATCATGAACATGTTGCTGCTTTGACTTCCTTGAACACGGGGAGGGGAGATGTTGATATGGATGAAATAAAGTTATTATTTTAATCCTAATGTCCTGATTCATTTGCCTGCTTTGTTCACAAAGAGTTGAGTAGATTTGCGGTCACATAACAAGGCTTTGGTGTCATAACCAGCTAAAAAGTCCTCACAGGTGCTTTCTCAGGGACAAACACACATGGACACCCCGGTGTGCTCTGATCTGCGGCTGTCTTACTGGTTTACACAGGTTGAAGCAGAGGCCAAATAACTATGAATAACAGTTTGCAAGCACACACACAGCCATGGTTAATATAGGACTGAAGATGAGTGATCAGCTGACTAAACTTTATGTTCCTAAAGGACGGAGCTCAGACTTGTTGGACGGTCTGTTAGTCCAATAAAGTCTGATATTTACATGAAAACATTTCCAAAAGGTCAAACCGCACAAACACGGCCCAGAGGTTAAAGGTCAGTGACTGAATTAGCTGAGGTGACACCTAGCAGACAGCTACTTCTATTCAAGCCTTGAAAGAAATGTATATTTTATCGTGGGGATCGACTCAGTCGAGGTGACAGCCTCAAGTGGACAATTTCAGAAACATCTGTTGGCTTCATTTCTCAGCTCAGAAACTCCCTCAGAACGACGTCATTGTGCAAATGTTCATGAAGGCCATTATGAAAACCTTCAGTCTCAATCTTTTGAAGAAATAACTTTTTCTGTTCAGTTTTGTTTGAAACCAGGTAAGTGATCAGTAATGCTTTACCTCCCAGCCACACTAAACACAGGAGGAGGGATGAGCAGCTGTTTGTTTTGGTTTAGTGCTGGTGCTCGAGGGCGACATCTACTTGATAAAAAAAAAAAGGCACACACTCTTCCTTTAAGCGCAACACATCTTAGCACTAATAAATGCATTTTCCAAACAGCTAAATGAAAACGACCTAAGACAGTTTGGTCACATTTGTTGTTTTTTATAATACATATTCCAGTAAAATCTACTTCATTACACAGATAGTACAAGAAAAAAATAGTATATTATACTTCAGATGTGGAGCACACGGTTTAGTTGTCTTCTGTCCACGCAGACGTCCTTCCACTCCCTTTATGTGAACAGTAAAAAAAGACAGACAGCTGATGGAGGGGAAGACAGTGCTGTGGAGGGACAAAGTCTGCAGACGAACCGTCGACTGAGACGAAAACAAAGAGATGAGCTGAAACGACGTCCGGACTGAAACACACGGCAGAGTATCAAAAATGCTTTTTTACATTTGTGTTTACAACAAAGTTTGTCAGGCTTCTTATATTACATCTGATTACAAAACAGAGTTTTTCATTTACAATCTAAGGCTGCTCACGTCCTCTGAGCTCTGACCCGTCTGTGTGTGTGTCTGTGTGTGTGTGTGTGTGTGTGTGTGTATGTTTCTACAACAGTCCCTTTAATCCTGTGTGGGAGCATGCGCCTCCCTGGTGACCATCTGAGCCAATCAGAGAAGTCTGATGCAGGGTGGAGGGGTTTGGATGCATCCTGCACTTTATTTTTAACAGTGTCCAAAGTCACTTCCTGTAACCCCCTCCCTCCTCAGGGCGAGGCTTTCAGGACGATGCGTTTTCTGTTGACACAGCTGACGGGCTAGAAGGGGGCGGAGCTTCAGCCACAGCTTCTGATTGTGCTACCTCTGGATTGGGGGTCTGGGTGGGGGTTTTGGATGGGGTGGGATGAGGCGCGCTGACCTGGACAGAGAGCTGTGGCAGCGCCTGGGCCACTGCTGCTGGTTTAGCCAGGATGAGCTGGGGCCTGCCCGTGGTCAGCTGGACCGTGTGGGTTGTGGCTGGTTTAGTGGTGGCCTGCGCTAACGTTGTAGTGACAGGTTTGGCCTGGATGAGCTGCGTGATATGGCCTGATGGGTTGGCCTGCATGAGCGCAGCCAGCTGGTTGGCCGGGATAGTGATGATGGTGATCTTCTCTCCAGCTTTGGATCCGGCGGGCAGCATGGTGGGCAGCGCCTGGATCACCAGTTTTGGTGGAGCGCCGGCTGAGGCGTTGGCTACCGTAACTGGGACTCCTGAAGTGGTGGTTAGGATGGAGGAGGAGTTTAATGTCACTTGACCTAGGGAGTTCGTCATGACGACAGGCATGGCCCTGATTTGCCTGAAGGAGGAAGAACAGAGAGAAACACTGTTAGCGTCCTGAGCTGCATGAGAATTTAAAGTGTAGCGTTCTGATGTTGTGGATGAGTGCAGCAGTGATTGAAGAGAAATAAAACACAGATGTGTATCCTGCTGGTGATGGAGGATAGTCACCTGGTGCCGGCGTTGCTGGGGATGACGGTGACGTAGGTGTGCTGGGGCTGGGTGGAGGCGGGGGAGCTGGTGACCAGGCCTGCGGGGCCCTGCTGGTGAGCCAGGTGCTGAGCGGATACCATACCCTCGCTGTCCTCCACCTCCTCTCCTTCCTCCTCGTCGTCTATCACCCGGATGTTCTTGGGCATGTCTTTGAACTGGTAGGCCAGCCGCTGGCCCTCCACTTTGGCGAGGATGCCCCTCTGGTAGTAATACCTACACACACACACACACACACACACACACACAGCAGACAGGTGTGTTATTATATGTGACAAACTGAGGTCAGTAGTATGCAGTGTGTGAGAGGACAGGCTGACCTCAGGGCTCGGCCCATGGTCTCATAGTTCATGTCGGGCTTGTTCTTATGTTTCCCCCACAGTTTGGACACGGCCTTCGAGTCGACCAGTTTGAAGATGCCCTTCTCCCTCTGCATCCACTTGATGTACCTGGGGCAGGTGTTTTTGTCCTGCAGCAGCTCCAGCAGGAACTCCCACAGGTACGTGGTGTTACCTGGAGGACAGACAACATCATAAAATCCTGAGGCTGTGCAGATCATTTGAACACAAACAGTGAAAAAAACTCCCCGATGTCCTTTTAAAAAGCTCAACACAAACTAACATCCTCTATGTAAATCATTTACGGGTACGGGTTAACTTTTAAGGTGTTAAAATCCAAAGAATCTCATCGCTCACAAACACATATATATATATATATATATATAAAAACACACTGATGTTTTTACCACACTGATATATCAGAGAGCTCATACAGCTCCTAACAGCTAACATGAGTCACTTTCAAAATAAAAGACTTAATCTATCTGTTAGGAACATTTACATGCTCTCTCAGTCTGCTCGTTACTCTGCAGATCATCTTTAAACCACACACGCTTTAATGTGAACTCTGAGACAAACCTTTGCCCTCTCTCTGTCTCTTCTTGATCCCCAGGTCAAAGGAGCCGTTGGAAGCAGGCTGGTGTGTCTTGGGCTTACGTCCACCTGCATCCAACACACACACACACAAACACAAAATGGTTGTTGAAGAAAACGTCCAAATTAAAGTGCTTCCCCCTCACAGTCGACATTGGCTTGGAAAAGATATTGTTTTACAATGTGCACATGCGCTAAAGTCCCATCACAGGACGCGTCGCGTGTGATCAAAGTCCAGTGAACTACAGCATTCTACACTTCACGTATCAGACGCTTTTATCCAAAGAGACGTACATCAGAGAATAAGAACAACACAAGCAAGGATAGAGAGAGATTATGCAGATTAAATATTACTTTGAACACCATTACAAATAGTGTGTGTGTGTGTGTGTGTGTGTGTGTGTCACAGTGAACTAAAAAGATAGTTATTATTGTTTAAAGCTTGGTATTAAACAGCAACAAACAATCAACAAAACCTAATCCAGAGATGAATTGTTGAGCAGAGTCACTGTCAAAGTGGATTTACAACGTGCACATTTCTTCAGACAACACGGTGTACAAAGGAGCTCATATGAGCGAGTCCTGGATTGGCTGTTGTGTCGGGACACTGACCTCCTCTCTTCTTCTTTGCAGCAGGTTCACACTCGGGAGGGATGGGGAACGACTCCTCCTCTATTGGTCCACACTCTGTCGACACCTCCACCACCGTCTCCATCATCACATCCTCTGCTGGAATCAAACAGAACATTCACACTCCTCCTGCTGAATCACTAAACTCAGCGGCTGCAGTATGTTTACTGTGTCCGCTCTCTACACATAGCATCGTACTACAGGCAGGAAGTCTCATTACAGCGTCATATACAGGACCCGGTTGCTTCATCCATCATTTCTGCTTTGTTCTTTTTACGGCATGTCTTGCCTCCCCCCCTCCCGTACAACAAGGATGGCCTCCTGCTGTGAGGTGCATGTGTGAAAAACTGGATCAGAAGGATTTCAGGGGCAGTGTTCCTGAAATTCTCAAGACATTTTCCAGAGTGCGTTATGTGAAAACAGCTAAAGTGTCTGAACACAGAAAGGATCCCTTCAGATACTTTTTCTGTCTCTTCAAACCCACCAAGATCTATTGTCAAAAACATGGGGGCTGCTTAAATACAATCAGTGTTATTGTTGTGTTAAGCCAATTTTGTTCTGTATCCAGGCTAACCATTTTAAACAAAGTCACAGTGACCTAAATAAATCGAAGCGCTTAAAGCATCGGTTGACACTTTTAAAATGACTGTTTTTATCAATGACGTTTGGTGGCTTTGAAGAGAGAAATGTAATCCTAAAAAAGATTTGACTCTTTTACTAAAGGTCAATCTGAATATAAGGAAAGCAGCAAAAACAAGGACTTTCAGTGGATGTTATATTTTGATGTACCTTCTTAATCCTCACTCTCCTAAAACACGCCCTTCTGATGGCGCTCACTGTGCACGGCTCAGTTTCTCTTACACAGAGCGAGGTGTGTCGACGGGGTGGTTACCTGTGTTTCGATCATTGTGCAGACCTCCAGGAGACTCCATGTGCAGCAGAGCTTCAGCTGCTTCAAACGTTTTGTCAAAACACACGATGTCGTGAGCCGTCATCTCCACTGAGCAGAGGACAAGAGAGGAGCAGGTCAGTGCACACATGCTCACTGAGAAGAGACCACACGACGACTACGAGAGCAACTCAAGGACAACAACAGAACACAATGCAACCACAACTATTTTGAAATGCTGACTTCCTTGTTTGGGGTTTTTGGAGGCTGTCTGTTCCTCCCTTCCTGTTTCCTGTAATCTGTTGTAAAGTGTTTTACATCGTTCCAGTCAGCAGAGGGCAGTGTGCTGTGACATACACACAAACAGCGGCTGACAGGGGACAGAGAGAGAGTGAGAAAGGGAGCAAGAGAGAGACAACATAATGTTGTGAACAAAATGTGTGTATAAAATGCTGAGACAGCGCCATCAAAAGTGCAGCCACCACCACCTCCAACTGCTCATGATAGAAGAGTCATTGATCATTACAAACGACTGCTTCACTGTGCAAAACGTGCAGCGCCACTTTCTACCATCTTTCCTCCCTCATGATGTCATAATGGTGCATTTAAAGCACACGGTCGTGTACGGTGTAGTAAATAAAGCTTGTGTGTGCTGGTTTAAAGTTGAGGAGAGCAGAGAGACTTGAAGGCTGTGGGTCTGTACTTCACAACTATCAACGTCACTGTAGGTCGAGAGCTCGACAAGCGTGCAGGTAGCTAACAGGATAACAAACTGCACCTAGTGAAAACAGACGACACAGCTGCTCACACACTGACTGTTGTGGACTCAGATGAACACGATACAAATCATCACAGGGAGACGGTGTGAACCATTTTTTAACTCTGACAGACCCCAACAAACAGACCGCAGCATACCGGTGTGACTTATGTTCCTGATTTTACAGAAAGTGATACTGAGGCTAAAAATGTTCAGTTCTATTCCAATCATTGTTTACACTCAGACCGGCAACTAGAAACAAAAAATGGAGCTGGAGATAAGATTTGACTTCAGTAACCTGATCGTTAGCTGCACTCAAGCCAATTAGTTACAGGGTCGCAAATTAGCCTTCTCTGTCCGCCTCTTTTACTCAACAGGGACTACAAACACAAAAAACAGAAATCATGTCCCCTGCGGTCAGACTCTGCAATCAAACACAGAAATCTTTTTATACTCATGATGAACTCAGGAGGACGTGACCGGTAACACTTCAGACTGATCAGACAATGAGCAGTTTACTGATGGAGTTAACGGACCAATGAAAACACAGTCGACTGACTATGACTTTTTTCCTCAACTCATGTTTGGACGACCTTAAGGGGGCGCTCTCCTGTGACAGATCTGGTTTGTCTGCTTTATTTCAGTCATGATGAAGTCTAAACTTTGAACCCAAACATGTGAAACACAGATTTCAAGACATTAAGACTCAGTGTGTTCTTTCTGTCTATCCTGTAGAGACGTTTGGGTGAATCCCAGAAGAAAACTTTATAGAAGTCTAATTTAAAAGTCAGAGAACTCACCCGTCTCTGCCACCTCTGTGACCACCTCCTGCTCGTCAGCCACATCCTGCATCAGGTACGTCTCATCGTCGTAGACCAGGACCTGAGCTGAGTAGCACTCCTCCACCTGAGCACTGGGCACCTCCTCCACGATCACTGCAGGACAGCCCTCCTCCTGCAGCACCACGCCCTCCTCCTCCTCCTCAACATCTTCTTCCACCTCCTCTCCTCCCTCCACGATCACCGCCTCGATTTCCTGCTGAACCACTTCCTCCTCTTCCTCCTCCTCTTCCTCCTCCTCAGCCGGCTGCTGCTCACACTGGACATGGTTTGAGAAGGTGAGGCAGAGTGAGAATAGAAGGGATGACCCAGAGTTCAAAGATGGCAGTAATTCCCTTAGATATTAATGTTCATCAAGAAAATGTATTTTCAGTATCACGTCCTTTACTAAAGTGTTTGTTCAGTGTAACTAAAAGACTTGTTATTGCAGCATGCAGCCGATTGTAGAACTAGGACATGATACACACGCATCATGTAGAGCTAAACTAAATATTCTCTACAACTTATTCTACTCCGTGATTCTCAATGATTCATCACAATTCTTTCATCACTTTTAAGGGAACGAGATTAAAGACAGATTTAAAAAGTATTACAGTCTTTGATCTGATCATCAGACACCAAAACTGTTCAAAATATTTCCTCTTGTGATTTCTTTGTAAAATGACATCATCATTTTTAGTGTGCTTACTGAATAAAAATCACTGCACCTTTGTTTTTTATTGTACACATAAGGAGAGTCTCTTTGATGAAACAAAGGAGAACAGGCAGCACGTCTACATTTTACCTGATTCATTTCACACAGGATGATGGTGTCTGTTTTCACAACAGGTGAGATGTGTGTGAAGGCTGCATGAATAAGACATGAAAGATCACCCACTGCTTCAAGAGCTGATAGGGAGCTGATACAGATTTAAAAAGAAAAGTTGGCTGATACATTTGGATGTGCTGCCCAGGTATCGTCTCGGTGTGGGACACTGGCGGTATACTCTTCTGCAAATCTTAACCTGCTGCGTCCATGTTTCTACGTAACAATTAGGTCTTTCACACTTGCAGGAAACTTAAACTTCACCCAGAGTCTCCTCCTGCCAGACCTCTAGTACTTTTTCTGCAGCAAGTCCAGAGTGAGCTGATGTGAGAACGCAGCAGGATATAATCAGGAGAATTCACCTGGAGCCAATGGGAGGGGGGAATGACGTTTATATCCTGTGACTGGAGTCAGTGCATTGACTGTCTGCTTATTATGTTTTCTGTTTGTCAGTATGGTGTTCTCCTGTCTCACAGGGATAATCTCCCGCTGTGAGGAGCATAATGTGAACAGCCAGGTCAGGAGAATCTCTGGAGCTGTCCTCCTGAAGTTAGCTAGATATTTTCAGGGGTGTATAAGTGAGAACAGCTCATGTAACAGGAAGAAAAAAAGAGGCCTCACCTTTAATTTTCATCATACGATTTAATTAGTCCCTTATGCCTAATTATTTTCAACCGTGTTGTCCTGTCTTACCTAATACTTAACGTGTAACCACTGACACAACCTCTATGACCTTTAAACTTTATTTTGGACTTTGTTGAGGTGATGACTCAGGTGTCAGGATACTCACCTGCTGGGTCTCCTCCACCACGGTGACATACTCCACTATGTTCCCTCCTCCATCTGACACCACCACAGAGGTCATCACTCATTCCTATCAAAATAAAAGCACAGGGGATCAGAGTGGAGAAAATATCAGAGCTGGAGGACCTCCTCGTTTCTACATTATGCACAAGTTTGTTTGTTTGTGTGCATAATGTAAGAATGGAGGTCATGTGAAGGCCCCACGGGCACCCGGTCTCCTCATGACTCCGTCTCAGTGATGTAGTGGTCTTTGTTGTGAAGGAGAAACACCACTTAACTGTGTGGACGTCTAAAGTCTTCTTTCATAGACGTATACTCTTATAGAAAATACCTTGTCCTTTATGAAATCATTTTGACATGAACATTTATGAACATTAGTACAATGTTGAATTGTAACGACCGCGGGTGGATTTCACCACCACAGCACCCCTGGGTGAGGTTTCCAGGGAACCTTAGGGCTGCCCGACACAGACAGAGTGAGTCTGAATCTATTTCAGTTAGTTCAGACTAGCAGGTGAATCTGTGTCCGTCAGAACAAAAGTCTCTGTAATCAGGGACCTCTTTATAACACTGAAAACATCACCATCACTCATTTGTTATTATTTATGTATTTTAATGTCTTATTTTCACTTAATGTCATATTTCAGTATTTCTGTTGGATCTTTAAACATACTTTCATATTTAATCTTCTCTTTTTCGTTTTTTTTTCATTTTAAAGTCTCTTTTTCTCTTTCTCTTTGTCTTGATGCTTTGGATATGTGTGAAGTACTTCGCCTTGTTGCTGAAATGTGTTTTAAATAAACTCGACTTATGGCCAGTATGTCAGTAAAATTAAAGAATGGCTCAAAGCTTAGGCTGTCACATTTATGTCAAACTTAAATGTAGAACTGAGTTTATATATTTTGAGGGAGTCTTCCTGGCAGTTCTTGTATTATAATAAACACGACAGAAAGTCAGGAAACAAAGACAAAACACTGAAATCTAGACACGACTCGCTGCCAGCTCTTTTAGTTAAAAACAATGAGGGTTACAGGTGTTATGCTGAGAAATGCATCCCTGCCAAGAAGTGCACGCACGTCACTGACGTGTTTGAAAATGTTATTTCTGGGGGCAGATCTGTGATAATAAAGTATTTGCAATAGTTCGCATTGCCCTGCGAGGTGAGGGCATTTCTCGACATAACACTGGGAATAACGGAGGTGTACAGCAGACAGTGAGCGGGCATGTTTACTTTCTGATGAGAGGTCTGCAGGACCGAGTCTGCAGCTAACCAGCGAGCTTGAAGAGTCTGATACAAACAAACACTTAGCTACAACCGCTGCAGCTAGCTTCGTGCACTTTATGTCCTTTTAAAATAATTACACACTGAATTCTTCTATAAACAGAGGATCACCTGAAACTAAAACAAACTTAGCATAGTCTACCATTGATGCTAATGGGCTAGTTATTGAGCTACAAACAGTTAGCAGATAGCAAGCTAGCTAACAAATATTCTGTAATTATCGTGTTGTTTAAAAAGTTAAAATAGTAATTAAACAACCTATTAAAACATCTGCATTTGGATTGGTTATCTACCAATGGCTGCTGATATATCAATGCAATAAGTTTACTCCCCTTACCTTGTTTTGCTTTTGCTAGCGAAAAGTTAGCTCCTCTGCTAGCGCTAGCTCGGACCTCCGTTAGCCAACTTGTCAAGGCCAAAACGCGTACTTCGCTTTCATAAACTAGAGTTTGCACGTCCTCCGTCGCCCAAAAATCGCTTTGAGGACTCCTATCGACGTTCTTTGTCAAAACCGTAAGAGTTGGGGCGGATGCAGGCCCTAAAGTTGTGTTTTGATCGCAGCCCGTTTCTTGCTATCCTGTAGCTTTCCGGCGCGACAACGGATCCAGTGTGTCAGCGCAGAACGCCGTGACGTCACCACGACGAACCCCTGAAGCAGTGAGCAAAACCTCGTATGTACACCATGACAGCGTGCAAGCTCGTATGTACTTTCCTGGACCAATATTTTTATTTTGTTTTATATTCTTTTTTAGATTTTTAGATTCTATATTATCTATATTGTGCGACATGCTTGTTCACACACATAGACCTAAGATACACAAATGCACGCAAAGGACATGTATTAATGGTGGGATGTCAGAGGGGGCACGCCCGGGCTGTTGTGGGTTCGGTTCGTTGTCTTGTCCAAAGTCAACACGACGGTATTCGGGAAGTGATCTGGCACCTCTCCAGCCATCAGACCTACGTCCATACATTTGCTTGAAATTGGAAAGTCCCCGCCAAGCCCAAAACCAAATGTTATTAAAGCTGCTGATTCCTGAGAGTGTGTAGAGCTGCAAACATCTGGGTGCTGTGCTTAATAACAAACTCCGTTATAGGACTTCTTTCAATGAAAATCTATTTTAAGCTTTTGTACGCCATTTGCTGCAAATAGTTTGGAAATGCTATCTTGGCCAATCAGAAAAGACTTGAAAGTCTTACGAACAGCCAGCGAAATGTCAGGGAGTTGGCAGGCGGGTCTTGAGGACTTATGCTGGACTGGTCAACCCAAATCATCCCCTTCAGAGAGAAGTCTCCAGGTCTCATTTATCCCCTGTGCAGTTCATAAACTGGAAATGAGCACCCAGGTTGCTCTTCTTGCACTATTATTGCACATCTTCACACTGCACTGTGTGTTATTTGATAGAATTTCCATTTTCAGTATTGACGGTATATTTCGGTATTTACGGCACTTATTGTCGTTATAAAATCTGGTCAAACATAGACATACACTATATCCTTAGCTGAGAAATAGTTGTGCCCCTTAATGAGTAGAGAAATAGCTTATAGACAATAAACGGACAGAAATAAACAGTTAATGTGCAGAGAATAAAGGAAGCAGCTAAAGTGCAATGACTGAACTGTTAAATAAACATCTATAGTGCAATGAGTTAGTGAGTAAATAAATAGTTATTGCATGAGAAGAACGTTGACGATTTAGCAGCAGCGAGGTCGATACTGCACATGTAGTCTTGTCTCGTTTAGGAGAGAGGGCTTATGCTGCTTAGCTCTTGACCAGTGGCGATTCAAGTGTCTGTTGGGGCCTTAGGCAAAAATTAATTGGAGGGCCCTTTGACTGGCGTTCATCACCATCCTCTCTGCCACTGTCCCGATGCTTCCTCCTCTTTCTTTTTTCTCTCCTACAGACGGATAATTCCTCTTCATTTTTCTCTGCTGACTTACATTGACAAACTTTGGTGTCTCATCAATAATGATGCAACGCTTAGCAGTGCAACGACAGTGAGCGCGATCAGATGGGGCCCCTTAGGGAGGTTTCCTACTGTCATAGCAAAATGTGCACATTTTGAGCCGCTGCTGTGGGTTAACGTTTGTGAGCCCTCTGAGCAAGAGATGTGAAGGGAGACCGAGCCACAATACCAGGAGGTAGAGGAGATTGAGAAAGGGGAGAAAAAGGGGTAGGAGCCAGAGGAGGTAAAGGAGGGAGAAGGAGAAAGAGGAGGAAGAATAAGGGGCTGCTGTGGCTCAGTCAGTCATCTCTGAACTGGTAGGTTGAGGGTTCAATCCCCAGCTAACTTTCATATCTCTATGGAACACCCAAGGGACCAGAGAAAAGTCGGTGTGTAAGTATTTGCCGATCTGTGAATTTTAATAGACCACGACTAACCTCCTCCAGAGAAGAAAAAAATATACAAGCTCAAGTCCATTTAGCATTAAAAATCTAAGATTGTATTGTTTTGAACATTTTGATCACCCTGTTATAGGATGAGACAGGGAGTCAAGTGTTTTCTGGGGGGGGGGGGGAGAACAAACACCAGAAGACAAATCACATTTAATCCCTTTTTTTATTTTGCAAAAACAGGTAAAACAGTAAAATGTGAAACGGTCACAGTTCCTGATCTTTGTCCATTCAAAGCTCATTCACTCACATCCTCTAACAGAAACCTGTCCGGGAGCACCGAGGAAACAAACAAGAGTGTCGTTCTCTCAATCTCAATCCCTTTTTCTAAAATACATTCCAACACTCCACTTCAGTCGCTCCCTCTTGTGATCTCAAGTCTGTACACCAAGCTGACAAAGACAGGAGAGAGACAGTGGAGATGATGAAGACTGAGAGGGGAAGAGAGGACGAGCGCCTCACACTGGAGTCTTCAGACATACTGCAACACCTCCAAACACACACATGTCACATCACATCAGTGTCACCACGTGTCCTACTTCCTGCAAGCCTTTCAGCTAGATGTCCACACAGGTGTGACCGGCAAAGAAGAGCTATTTGAGAGGAAGAACATCAAGCCGTCCTCCCTGAACCATGACACTGAAATGTACAGATTTAAATATAAAGAGCTTTGTGTTCCTTCCTTGGTGAACATCAATGAATGTAGTCAAGGAAAGAGTTTTATAACTTTGACCATAACTGACTTCATGTTGAGAGTGGAGAGGAAACTGGCCTGAGAAGGTAACTAAACACTGAAAATGGAGATGATGCACAGCTCTCTTTGAAGCGTGTTTCACATTCACAAGCGTCTGTAACATAAACTTAGAGAGGCCAAAAATAGAAACATGCTTTAAAGGTTTTAAAAAGATCTACCGGTATGTGCATATTGAAGTCTGTAACACGGTTATAGCATCAAGAAGAGGTCGGTCGGGTCATTTAGGCTGAAAACACGAGGAAAACTGAGGTAGCTACGTGGCTACGCTAAAGAGCAGTGAGCTCGAGGTGTTTCTGCAGAAAGTACTAAAGTACAGCGATCGTTTCCAGCTCTTTGTTTTCACACTGAGACGAGCAGAAGAAGAAAACCTGAGGTCGGGTGCTGGGTAAGATTGCTGGTGGCTTTAGAAGCGCCCCTCTGCTCTGAGAGATAACACTGAAGGTTCATGTCACATGATCGGGGGAGAAGTGCTGAGGAAATCCACTGGATTGGTTTTTAAACACAGAAGGAGAAACAGGTAACTGCACAGGTGGCTCAGTTTTGTCCTCAGCAGTATACAGGTTGAAATTCAGGGAAGTTTTTGAAGGTTTTTAAAAAAAGATCAACCACAGATCTGAAACAACTACGGAGTCAAGACGGAGTGTCACAGAGATGGGCAGCAGTTGATCTCTAGAGTTGAGAGGAATCTTAGTCTGTGTTTTTAATGGATGAAAGTGTTGGAGAAAGGCACATCCTCTTCTTCTGCAGGACGACGTCTTCACTCAGGAGCCGTTCACTGTAACGGGAGACAAACACAGACGTCAGATATCCTGGAGGTGAAAACATGACAATATGTCTTCAGCAGTTTGACCTGATGTGGATGTAAAGGAAAGTGATGCTGCATATTTTTTATTTTATGTAAAGCACATCTGAAACAACGGCCTACTGAACCAGCAGAGTATAATAATCAAAGGCTCAGTACCTTGATTGGAACTACTGCATTTGCATCCTAAGAAGACGTCGCCTACCCTGAACAGCAAAGTTTAAAATCCAAGTTAGACCAATTTTCAAAAAAGACCAAATTTATTCAAACAAGCAGATCTGTCTACTTCTCTACTCATATCACTGTTACTCATAGAGCCTGACAGATAGAGCGTTTGGTATCAGCTGATACTGGCGATGAGTCTTTAAGAGTGGTGTAACTGTATTTGTCCAGAACCCTCGCGGCTCAGAGGTCAAGCCGAAAAGGGCAGTCACACATGGTGACGTTAATGCTCGTACCTGTTAGCTAAATGGTATTAAACTACAAACTCAGAAGAAGAGCAGTATAGCAGGATGACACGTCTGAGCTAGAAGAAGTGCATGCCTCCCCGAGGAGAGCAGGCGTGCAGAATCACGTCTTTCAAATCACTTCTTAAAACTCACTTTGATGTGATGTCATCTTCTCATTTTTTAAAGGTTTATTTTTCTCCATTTTGAGAGGCAGGACAGTTGATAAGAGTCAGAAATCGTAGACAGAGAGAGGGGGAACGGAGCCACAGGCCGGACCCGAACCCAGGGTCGCCCGCCTGGAGGCCCAAAGGCTCCGCACATGGGGCGTCCGCACCAACCGCTTGGCTACGGGCGCCCCGATGTCATCTTGTCCTTTACTCAGTTTGTTGCTCCTAATCTTTGAATCCATCAGTTGTTCTTCTGATGTCCGGCTCTAACCGTCCCATCCCGTGGTCACAGAAACCAGTCTGTGATCCTCTCACTGACTTACATAAGCGGTGACCGAGTTTGAACAACCGAATGATCAGAGAGAACATGATGAACCTTTAAGAGCAGCAGAGTCACCTCACAGACTCATCGTTAATATGATACATCTTATTTTGTCCTATAACCTGTTTTTATTTCATATCAGGAGATGTTCATTTCTGAGCAGCTTTTTATTTTGCATCATGTTTCATGTTTAAAGGCTTTATGTGATTTTTCACACTTAAATGGAATAGAAATCAAGTATATCCTCTGAAAATAACTCTGTGAGTCATGACTGTCTACAATGGGTGTAACACCCGAGTCCCACTGTCTGTGATGTTTTCAGAGTTTTCAGAGTCCTATCTTCACTTTGTTTACATCGCCCGGACGGCTGGCTGACTCCTCCCCTCGTGTATAAAAGTTGTTTAATTGAGGGACTAGAGAAAAGAAGAATAACATACTGTACTCACTGCTTAACAGTGTTTCTAGATCACGCTCATTTCAGGTAAATTTACATGCAGTGTGAAGATACCAGCATAATAAAGATCGCTAGCATTAGCATGCTAACACAACAATGCAGCGCAACTTGTTTTGGTTTCATGCTGGTGCTCAAGGGCGACATCTACTGGATCAAAAACTCACATAAAGCCTTTAATTCACTACAGGCTGTACCGACTCACAGGTAGATTTTAAGAACATAACATCTAACTAACTGTAACCTGCACTTGTGCCAGTTCTGCTTATTGAACTATGACCCCACCTCTGAACCATTACACACCTAATCTGCACAGAAACAACACTTGTTTACTGAGCAGAAAACAATGTTTAGGGCAACATAGAAATGGTAGTATCATATCATTTATTAAGCAAAGTGAGCTCAGACTCTACAGGATGCACTAACCTCAGCACATGTAGCGGAGCACATGTAAATTGTTTGACAATTTAGCAGCCTCGTGAGTATGATGTCTCAGTGGGATCAAAGTGCTCATGAGAGATCAACTGTCATCCCAGCTCAGAAATACACAAGGTTAGTCAAAGTCTGTCAGACTCTAAAATGTACCCATTACAAAATGTATTCTGACTAAAAAAATCAATGATTTGTTACTGTAGGTATTTGTTTTCAACATCCCATATCAGTCAGGCTCTATTGAGATCTACCAGAAGAAGATGAAATATGAGGAAAGCAACAGCTGGGTTACCTTTGATCAGTCTAACAAAGTTTAGATACCTCAGAAGAAGGGGCGTCGTCTTCATCTGGAGCTGGGATGATTCTGCCAGTCATGGGACCAACTCCGAGAACCTTAGGCCGGCTGTCAGACTTGGGTGAACCTTCCAGGACCACAACGATGTACTCCCTCTTAGGAGCTTCTGCCTGAGCCTCCACAGGGGCTGAAGGGGTCTCTTCCACCACAGGGGGAGCTACGGAGACCTCTTCAACATCAGTGGTGGTAACAGGTTCTTCAGCTAGAGCCGAGGTGACTTCAGGCTCTACTGCTGCCTCAAGGGCTTCCCTAACTGGTGCAGGGGCCTCTTCTACTGGTGCAGGGGCCTCTTCTACTGGTGCAGGGGCCTCTTCTACTGGTGCAGGGGCCTCTTCTGCAACTGGTGCAACCTCTACTGGTGCAGGAGCCTCTTCAGCAACTGGTGCAACCGCCTCTTCAGCAACCTCTACTGGTGCAGGAGCCTCTTCAGCAACCTCTACTGGTGCAGGAGCCTCTTCAGCAACCTCTACTGGTGGAGGAGCCTCTTCAGCAACTGGTGCAACCTCTACTGGTGCAGGAGCCTCTTCAGCAACTGGTGCAACCGCCTCTTCAGCAACCTCTACTGGTGCAGGAGCCTCTTCAGCAACCTCTACTGGTGCAGGAGCCTCTTCAGCAACCTCTACTGGTGCAGGAGCCTCTTCAGCAACTGGTGCAACCTCTACTGGTGCAGGAGCCTCTTCAGGAACCTCTACTGGTGCAGGAGCCTCTTCAGCAACCTCTACTGGTGCAGGAGCCTCTTCAGCAACCTCTACTGGTGCAGGAGCCTCTTCAGCAACTGGTGCAACCTCTACTGGTGCAGGAGCCTCTTCAGCAACTGGTGCAACCTCTACTGGTGCAGGAGCCTCTTCCACCACTGGGGCAATTTCCACTGGTGCAGCAGCTTCCTCTACTACTGGTGCAACTTCCTCTGGGACAGATATCTCTTCCTCTTTGGCGTCTTCAACAGCTGGTGCCAAGTCTTCTTTTGCTTCGACTATCTTCGGCAACTCTAGAGTAGAAGCAGCTGCCAGCAGCACTGCAACACAAAATCCAGCCATCCAAAAAAGTGAAAAGAAAAATCCACATTAAACTTAAAACAACTTGAGATGGTTAGCCAAGGCAACTTTTGGGAATTCGTGAGACCCTACTAGGAATAGAGGATTTAGTGGCAGAGAGATATTGGGTGATTGTGACCTTCATGCAGACGACGCCCAGTTGTATAAGAAGATTAAGAGAAACAACACAGGAGAGCTTTGTTAGTTTCTGTGGACATCAGTGCAGTTCCATAAGAAGTATGTCCATGTGAGAAGACAGAATGGACTGCGAGATGCTTTGCCAAGACACATCATTTACCAGTTTGAATAGTTTATAGTGAAAACACAACTCTTCAGTCTTATCTGGTTTCAAAACGTATGATCAACAGTATTCATGTAAGGTAGATTCAGCCTTAAGAACAGAGTGGCACTGATCAAAATGTGAAAACACAATATGGAAGTGGGAGTCCGACCAAATTTGAAGCAAAAACTAATCGTCTCGTGTTACTTCTACTGGTCTGACCTTAGAGTATTGGCCACACCAGGTACGTCTGAAAACCAAACACTGTTGTGTCTGGGATCACATAAGACCACAGCTCAGGGAATGTCATCACCTTCTCTGGGAACTGGGTCTGGATTAACTTTACCACCACTAAAGCTACTTAAGGCTGATCAGTGTCCAGTTTAATGACCCGTCTGCTCGGTCAGGTTTGATTCCACATGGTACCAGGATTTCTATCAGGGTTTTCACACTTCAAATCAACTCCTGAAAACATATATTCGGGTGAGCTGAACGTGTGAAAGCTAGATTTATAACGCCGACTTTACTCTGAATGTTGTAAATTTTCCACGAGAAGTCCGTGTGACCTGAGGAGTGAACGCTGCAGGAAATATTCAGGACCGTTCACAGCAAGCAAGCAGCGAGGAGGTTGTGACATTTATATCCTGCAACCGGTGCATGACCATAGGCCGTATGGGCGTGACGGCTTCATCAGGGTTTCTGTTCGCCTGTATGTTCTTCTCTGCTCTCTTGTTGAATGTGTCTAACTACATTGAGCATTATTACACACACACACACACACACACACACACACACACATATATATATATATATATATATATATTTTACGTGTCATAGTCAGACTTTATTGCTTCTTCTAGCTTTTTCTGGTTCTTTCTGCGTCATGTCCCGCCTCCTGAGCGCTTGCTGTGAGGTGTACGAGCAACTCAGGAAGATCAGAGTCGCATTCCTCAAATGTGTGAGCAAACCTGGCAGATAGAGCCGCTTGTGAATAACTAACCTTTAAACCGGATTAAGAAGCTAGAACTGTTCAATTAATTTCAAAAAGTTCAGAGTAAAAAGACCAAATCAGACAATCAAAGACGGCAGTAAACCTTTCTGGTTTGATCAAATCTTTATTGTATGGCTCGATGAATTAGCGTCAATTGTTCACAGTGCTCATTATTCAGTTATAAGCAAAATAAAAATATGATCACAAATGTCTTGAATCACCTCGGTATTTTCTCTGATTTATGATTTCTGACAGTTCCACATCACTCACAGTTTAAGGGAGATAACACACTGCAGCAGTTACAGAGTTTGTACACAGGCTCATGTTGTTGGAGGATAAAAAAAACAACTGTGCGACAGCATCAACCTGGTACAACATTAGAGGTTTATATGAAGGAAATACAGCGCTTAGTCAAATCTTCAAAAAGCATTAGGGCTTCATAAAAACAAACGGTCTCTTTAAGTGGACTCTGTGTGTGGTTGATAAAACTTTGAGTATTTTTGCAGGAGAGCAGGTTTTTAGTCGTTAGCGGACTGATGTGTAATGTTGGTATATACAGTGTGATCACATTTATTTCACCCATAACTGCATATGAGTGTCACGTTATGACCTCACTGCCGCTTAGGAAAAGTCTCACTGTGGTGTGCAGCGGGCGACCACGAGGACGCTGCTGGTTTTTAAACACCTCTAGGCTTCAAAATGAGCTGACAAATAAACACATCAAACACACATTCTGCACACCAGAAAAAGTCTCACTTCGTGTTAACGTGAATTCCCACTCCCATAAATAAAGAGAAAATATACAGCTCTAGGAAGACAAGGAGAATGATCAGTAAAAAGATGAACCCTGAGGAGAAGCAGCTAGTGGTTCGAGATAAGAGGCTGTGAGTTACGGGTTTATCTGTTGCCAGTGTTGTGAGGAAGGAGAAAGACCTGCAGCTCTTGAGTTAAAGTTGTTTTTAGAGAAGAGAGAGTGTGTGTGCTCCCTGCAGTGAATGTGTAGAACCTCATTCTTCAGAGGACTCGTCCTCAGGTGAAGAAGTCGTACCGTTGCTTTCTGGTTCCTCGGCGACCGCGGCTGGTTCTGCGACAGCCTCGGGTTCTGTGACAGCCTCGGCGGCCTCCTTGACAGCTTTGGCTGCGTCGGCCACTTCCTCCGCAACCGCCTCCACTTCCTGCGCAGCCTCCACGACGAACTCGGCCACCTCTTCAACAACCTCAGCGGCCTCAGCGACCACCTCAGCAGCCTCAGAAACCGCCTCGACTACAGTCCCCGCCTCGCCGTCGGCAGCTGCAGCCACCTCCTCAACCTCAGCAGCCTCGGCCTCTTCACTGGCCTCCTCGGCTGCAGCCTCTACCGCCTCCTCCTCCTCGCCACCTGGAACACACAACAAACCAAAACAGACCAAGAGAATGAGGCACAGTTTTTGGTTTGACTCACAGAAAGCAGCCAGAAGCCTCTCTCCCCCCCCCGCCACCCAAACAATATTCATGACAGATGAAGCAACTGTGTTTTTTTTTTTGTTTTCCTCGACACACAGTTCGACACTCTGCATGTAAGAAGCTCAATCAGGCAAAAATTAAAATCTTACAAAAGCAAGATTTGTAGCGTTTAAAAAGCAGAGTTTTAAAAGCTGGTTGGGATATTCTCAGTCGCTGTGTTTCCATCCAAATGTTTAAACCACAGAGAGAAACTGGAACATGTTTTATTACACATGAAGATGTTTTTGAGGAAAGCGCAGACTCTTATTAACATTTATATTAGAATAAAAATGGAACATGCAAGTACTCCGCCTGCAGGAATGTTCAGCTGTGAGCGGCTGCACAGTGTTCATGAAGTCCTGTAAACTGTCTCCTTCATTAAATGTTTATGCAGCTCATCAATAAACTGGACTTGTTAGATTAAACATGGAGACACCTGATTGGGAGCGGTCCCTCTACGGTTATTTTTAGAAATGTTTTGGTTTTAAAATTCTTAAACTTTAATTTATTGACAAAGATTTAGAAATACTTTTTCTGAATTCTGCGGCTCAGAACTAAAACACTGCAACATTATTACACTTTTCAATAAACTGGTGAAATCTCACAACCCTAAATGTTCATTTGAGAGCAGAAACGCTCCATTTAAAAACTTTCTTTGATGAGCTATGTAGCATTTTAAGACAATGTTTACACTAAAATATCTAAATTCATTAAAAATGGACTAAGTCTGTTATTTTTATTTTGAGTTCTTACATCACCTCAAATACTTCAAACAGTTATCAAAGGCAGAGAAATCCATCATTCTGTATTTGTAACGGGACGTCTTGTGACTAAGTCAGAATAGTAGGACTGTTATTATTTGGGTCTGTCTTTGTGTTTCTGTGTTTGTTTGTGCGTCAGTCTTTGTGTTCTGTGTTTCAGGTGTCCACCCCCCTTTGGAGAAACCCGGATGGTGCACGCCAGCCTCTGAGTGGAGGGAAGCTGTTGCTGCGTCCTGATTGGAGGACACCTACGGGGCCCTGCTTTTTCCTGACCTCCAGTGAGAGACATTGTGTGACATTGAGAGATTGTTTATGTATTGAGATTATTGTTTATGTTGTACATTTCTTATTCTGTAGGAGAGAGTAGCCTTTTTCTTTCTTAAATCTTTTCTCCTGTTAGGAGTCAGATGCCTGTATTTTCTTTTCTTTATTTGAGGTAAGGTAGTTTGGGTTCGACTTTGATGTTTTGTTTATAATTTTGCCGGTGCTCTCCTTGAAGTTTAATTCATATTTTGTGTTTGCCAAATAAATAGCTCACTGAACTGTGAATTTGTTGTTTGTGTGTTTAATCATTGGGAGTGAGGAAGGAGAGGGTCACTTTTAAGATACGGCTTGTCGTAACACGTCATGTTAATTACACTCCGATACATACATTTACTCGTCTGTAAACATATTCTCTTCCTCAGGTTGTGTAGGTTACATGTTAAAGTAAATAAATAAGAAGTATATCATTTTTGTTTTAGAGATTTCATTGTATAAGTTCAGTTCTAAAATATATTTATGTGGATTTAAGAAGGATGTTCTGTGAAGTTAAAAGCAGTGTTAAATGTTAGAGCAGTGAGGTAGGTTACCGTCACTTTAAAAGAGAGACAGAGCTCTTCCGTGCTGTGGGAGAGTTAGAATGGATTCAGGCAGTTCAGAGAGAAGCAGAGAATCACTCCCACCAATGATTTCCCACCAACCTCAATGTTTTTGTTATCGTTTTGACTGAGAGCCCCCTGGTGGTGGAATTCATTAACTGTGTGTTTAAAGCTCTTGCATTATTTGAAACACATCTAAAAGTATTATCGTATTGACCTTTTAGACCTCCCTATATCTTTAATCGCCCTGTCGGACACATGTCTGCTACTTTTATAGTGCATCACAAACAGTTGGATGGAAACACAGCTGCCAACAGCTCATAATTTTTCCAGCAGGTCGATCCAGACGTCCTACTTTCTGACAAAAGCCCCCGAGCCTTACCACGCACCCTCGGTGTATAAATCATCTGAAGAAACCCAGAGGCGACATGTTTACTACACAAGCTGCATGCAAACTCAAAGACAGGGAGGAACATGACAAAGACGTGAGGTAGAGGAGGGGTGAGGGGAGGGGAGGGGAGGGGCAGGAGTGCGGGAGAAAAGGGGGGTGAAGTTGAATCTTTGTTCTTACCATCAAATTAACAAGCTATCAGTAATCTGGAGCTCTGAAAGACAGTCTTACAGGGACACACACTGAGAGCGCTCCGGTCGGTTGTGCGTCTCTTTAATCTTTAACTGAGATTCTTTGCATCATTTGTTCCACATTCAAAAACACACAGAGCTGCGGGGGGCCGGCCTGGTGATCAACTTTGACTCCGAGCGTCGACTACTGGGAGTGATAATAGCATGTGATAATAATTAGCTCAATGCTAACACTTCAGTTTGAGATAATTCATCCTTACACTGAACATCCTTTATGAAATTATTTTCCGTCTGAAGCTTCTGAGTTTAGATTTCATTTCTTTCACACCAAATCACAAAGTTAAGTTGGACATTTTAACTTCAGGAGCAGCGTCTTGTGTCAGCAGCTCTCGGGGGAGGTCAAAGGTCGGAGTTCACGCTCTGCTTACATTTTAGGTGTTGCACCAGCAGAGATAGTTCCAACATATGAAGAAGTTAACACCTGAAGAAGCTTCTAGTTGGTGGGACGTCCGTCAGTAAAATACGGTTGTCATGGTGACTGTGTTAGAAAGATGGGATAACTCTGAGGATGAGGAGGAGCAGAGGGTTTCACCGGCCTGGACTACAGCCACCCGCCACAAAGAGTGGGGGACGACACGCGGGCAAGGAACTACAGGTCGGATTTGAACCCGGGCCACCGTCTTGGAGGACTACAGCCTCCATACATGGGGCACAACCTAACAGCCTCAGTGATTGTGGATCAGGACTCAGGGATTGTGGATCAGGACTCAGGGATTGTGGATCAGGATTGTAGATCAAGACTCAGGGATTGTGGATCAGGATTGTAGATCAAGACTCAGGGATTGTGGATCAGGATTAAAGCAGGTGGCTCTGATCTCATCCTAATCTTTAAGCTTGTTGTTTTGCTAATTATATTGTTTACTAACAAACAGGCCGCTCGCCAATATGTCGGCCTGAAGGGAAACCCGGGATCTGGGACAGATGTAGAGACTCTGAAACGCTGGATAAACTCAAACTCTGACGACATAAAGGTCGCCAAAGATTGAGTGCAGTTTGGACCGTTTGCAGCAGTTTGAGTTCTGTTTGAGACTATTGATCATCAACATCACGGAGATGGCAGCTCTTTGGGTCACGCTGATGGATCATTATCACTCACAGTAGTGCATGCTAACGTGTTAGCACGGACGCTCGATTGAAATCAGTTGACCACCTGGCTAATGCCCCCCGTAAAAACAGAAGTGTAACGCTCAGAACACAAAGAGTCCATCAGCAGAAAGGAAAATCTTTTAAGTCCATTTATCCTCGGCACAGAGTTTACACGTTAACATTTAGCACCAAGAGGTCAAAGAGAAGACAGCAGCGCAGACTGAGTGTCCTTCACAGAAAATGTCCACAGGTTTTAGGACCAGAAGGTGAATGGTTTTCGTTCTTAGCAGTAGGGAAGAGGAGGAAAGGAGAAGAGGGGGGGTTCAGATCCAAAGAGTCCAGTTCTAGGACGAATATCCGAGCGGCCACAGAGGACCTTAGCTTTAGCATTACACTGAAAAGAGTAAAGACACAAAGAGTTAGAGAAATTTAGCTTTAAAAAAAAAACACATCATTTCACATTTAAGCACCGAGGCTGTGAACGTGAATCAGAGATGGATGTGGACTGCCTCTCGTCAGGGGACGACTAGGAATACAGTTAGCAGTTTGTCCAAAGACGAGCACAGACGTCTTCAACTGATTTATGCAAATAAGATTTCTTAAAGGCTAGCCGACGAATGCTAACCTCATGATGAAGAACACAATGAAGAGTGAGGGAGAGAGAGGAGGGGCTGAGTGGTGTCCGAGGAGGGGCTAATTCTCTACTTGGGTAAAATCAGGAGAGTGAGTTCACGTCAGAGGACAGATATCATTGGTCAAGTACAGCCAAGCTTAATGACACACACACACACACACACACACGTTCAGACTCACATCCCTGCAGGTCTCATCTACAAATACAGACACAGGATGAGTAGAAATAAAGACGTTGAACCGAAATTCAAACTGAGGGTCTGATTCACAAATATGATTTGCTGTTAGTATCTTAATGATCTGAATTTCTACATGCTGTAATTTGCTTCTTTCCTTCCCTCAGCTGGTCGTCTACTTTTGGATCCATGAGCGGTAGAAACGGGCCGTGATTAGTGCGAGACAGTGAAATGATCAGAGACAATCATGCCATCATTTCCTTTAGAGTCAGTGTGACATTTCAGAGAGCATTCAGGCCGTGATGATGAGTGACAGCGTGATGACATCACTTACCCTCTTCTTCATCCTGACCTGTAAAACAGAAAACATCAGAGTGAGTTTCACATGGAGACACAGTGTCAGCAGAATGTTTGAGTCCACACAACTTTAACAGCTCCATTTACTGGAACAACTTCATCATTCATTTCTATTTGATCCTGAGAAGTGTGCAATCAAAATGTTCCAACACTTTCTACTTCGGTCTTATTTCACTTATTTCAAAGTCATTTCTTGAAGCTTTTCAAATATTTTTAAAACCCTGGAATTTGAGGCACCAAAGCTAAGTGGTTACATAAACCATTCAAAGATGATTTAGATAAAGAGGATATCAAAGAACAGATGCAAAAACATCCTGTTTTAATTCAAGCACAGACAGATGTACATGTCAAACATCTCCGCGACACTCCAAAGGTTCTTTAAACAGTTTATATATTCTTATTTTTCAGCAGAAAGAAGAGAGCGGTCAATATTTGACTTTCTGCTTATTGTGTCATTTCTTCTGCTTCACATCTTAAAGGTGACAGTGATTTTTGCTTGTATATTTGTTTTCTAATCTTCTGACTACTCAAAGCTCTTTCTCACCGCAGGTCACACCTACACATTCACACACTGATGGTAGAGGCTGCTGTGTGAAGTGACCATCAGTTACCGATCACATTCACACACCACTAAAGAAGCAGCGGGAGCAGCTTGGGGTTGAGTGTCTGCAGGAGCTGGGGATTGAACCCTTGACCTTCTGGTTGAGAGACAACTGACTCTACCACTGAGCCACAGCCGTCCCTACAATGGTGTTCTGCAGACAGATTCTCCTGAGGCCAGTGTGGCAAATCAAACCAGAATGCTTAATCTCCGAACAAATAAATCTGAACTTTAATGCTCTATCAATCAGTTCTTTATTTTTAGAGAATTAAACGATCATTATGCGAACACCAGCAGATCTGTTTTCAGAAAGGCTACGGCTGATCACATTTGCGGATTTGAACACTTACGATATTCTCCATAAATCCAACAAAGTTTATCGTCTGGGGAGCATACCCATCCAGATCTCAAAACTGGGTCACTTTAAAAACTACAGAGGGTTAGGAACGTGGAAAGACGGCTTTTAACGTTGCTGCCAAGCTGCAACCTGAGGCGTTGAAAAATAACCAGTAAGTCATCCAGTGTCCCTTTGAGGCTGGCGCAGAGAGACCCGGATATCAAATATCTCCCTGCAGAAGTGTTACCAAGACACGGCAATACCAAAAAATGTGAGCGCTATCTGCAGATTCGTCTCCATAATCCCTCTGACATTTAGAATCTAACTGGGGTTTTTGCTGTTTTTGAAAGCATGTGAGGGTTTCTAAAAAAGAATCAGTGTTTTCCACTGGACAAAAGAGGAATCCACCTCCTGAAAAATATAAAGTTTTATAATAAAGCCCTCAGAATTCAAAGATTTGTTAGAGCTCAGTCCACGGTGTGACTTCCAGCAGAGAGCCCGACACTGCGTACACAGAGACGTTCAAACATTGGGTTTATCTGCCTCCATCATCAGCGACTGTACACAGCGAGTGTGCTGCTGCTGGAAATCTGTTTACTCTCTTCATTACGCTTGACTGGATCAAATAAACTCATCTCACTTATCTACCACAGACGGTTAGCCTGAACAAACAAACCATCAGACAGATTAAATCAGAGCCAGAGGACATTTCAGAGAGACTGGGGAAGCTCACATCAGCGATCAGGCTGACCAATATGAACCATCAGGCAGATCTGTTCCAAATGTGGATTAGGAATTTAACCACAGCAAGGGCGACAAACTTTTCAAACAGAAAAAAATATTACACTGGCTGAATCAATGCTGCTGCTCTGTGGTCTGAAAGCATGTGTCAAACCGTTTCTATAAACTCAGAACTCAAAATGTCCAGAGAATCCAGTCCGTACAGTTTCTGACACCGTGTCCTAACAGCACACGAGCGAGAAATCTCACATTGCATCTCCCATGATCACACGCTCGATGTTCACACTGCAAATGTTAAATATTTACTTCTATTTTCTGTGAATTTCAGTTTCCCCTTGCAAACAGTGAGACATCATCTCGTGCTTTTATTTTGAAGGTTAACAAACTGAAATGTGGTGCTTTTATTTTGAAGGGAAACAAACTGAAATGTGGTGCTTTATTTTGAAGGGGGACAAACTGAAATGTGGTGCTTTTATTTTGAAGGTGGACAAACTGAAGTCTGGTGCTTTTATTTTCAAGGGGACTAACTGAAGAGTGATGCTTTTATTTTGAAGGGAAACAAACTGAAATGTGGTGCTTTTTTTTGAAGGGGACTAACTGAAGTGTGGTGCTTTTATTTTGAAGGGGACTAACTGAAGTGTGGTGCTTAATATGCCTCTGCTGTTATTCTCAACAGTAAAGAACAGCTGTTGTAGTGATTTCTGTGTAGGACGAGGTCAGTATCCATAATCAATATATATCACAATATGTATCTTATCGGGGCCTCTGTATCGGGATATAATCGTACCTTGGGGTTGTGGGAAACACCCAGCACTAAGCCGCAGTTTAACTTATATTCTGCTTTTTAAATGGGACTCACAGAAACAAGTGATCAGGCAGAACTCCAAGAAATGTGACAAACCAAGACATTACAGAGTTAACGGAACAGGAAATGAAAAGGGAAGTGCTTAAACACCAACTGCTGGCTTCAACAGAATCACTGAGAAATTGGTATCCGCTCCCAGAGGCAGACGTCGTCTATACGATGATGATGATGAGTCCTGTTCTATTTCTGAAAGAGGCCGGCAGCAGAGCTGGTTGTTACCAAAACATTTAAAATGGTTTGACTGTTGACCAGGCTGAGCGCTCCAGCAGCACCAAGACAGTGTATGTGTGTGTGTGTGTGTGTGTGTGTGTGTGGTCAGTGACGTTCATTCACTCCTGAAATAAGAAGGGGATAATCTCAGACTTTCCCACAATCCTTTGTGCAAGGTGAACTTGATGATGTTGATCTTTTTGCTCACAGTGAAGCACAGACACACGTAGTCACTCATCATTTGTGTCCACCTCAGTAGACTGAACATTTCAGCATGGATACTGACTTCAGAGTTTTTGCAGTATGGATGCATCCTTTCAGGAAATGAATTGTATTTTAACACCCACAATGCTGTGCAAAATTAAACATCACTTCACCTGCGCCTCCAAATCAAACCAAACGAGAATGGATTAATTGGATCAAATTTGTAATCTAGAGTTGAAGTCCCTACTGAAATCACTCCTTTTAATTAACAATAAAAAAAATTTAACAAATGTCTGAATTATTATAAAACCTTTCCCCCTCTATTCAAATAATGAATTCATTATTTATGCATGTGTCTTTATTGGTTTATTTTATATTCTGTATAGTACTGTCTTCCATTTGTACTTTCCTGTATGATGTTTTATTATTGAATGTGTTTTTTTACATTGTGATATTGTTTGTTGTTTACCTGGCTGTACATGTGCATTACTCTTCTTGAATAAACAAAAGAAACAAACGAGGACGGATGCAGCCAGTTCGGGTGCAGCCCCTTCACACCTTTAACTCTTAAAACAGACTGTGTGTTTTTCTTTTTACATAATTCTCTTTAAATTAATCTAAAATAAAAATTATAATAACACGAGTCCAACTTCATTTTGCAACAGAAAGAGTTACGTTTGTTGATTACATCATAATGTCCCGTTTTGTTTGTTAGTGTGAAATGTGGTGACAACCTGCAAGTGGCCGCTCCTAGCTGAGCCTTTGGAGATACATGTTTTTTGGTAAAATCATGTTTGAATGGATCTAAAAACTGAACAAGAAGCTACAAAATCACAGAGAAACCTTTAATCAGCGTAAGGACGGTACGTTTGAATTGTGTAGAAATATCTTTATTTGTTTCTGCACTCAGATTTTTATTTTATTTTTTCCACTAAATCTCTTGATAATCCAAGCTTGCTTTTTTTTTTTTTTTACATAAAGTGGGTTTTTGAAATGATGTGAAGCATCAGAATCGATGACGATCATTATATCTAGACTACAGGTGAACATCTTCCTTCAGTCTGAACCTCTAAATAATCTCTCTCTCAAACATCGGTCAGATATAAAACAGCAGAATAAGAAGAAGCATTTATTTTCCTGTAGATTGAAAATGGTGGTAAATTTAAAGCCCCGTGTCCAACAGTTGTTTTCAATGAGTAGAGCGTTGGCAGCAGAAAGTGACCGCCTAGAGAAAAAAAGCGCAGCGCCAAGCCTTCTTTTTCTGAGCACTCCTTTTTTGTGCGGCCGCTCAAGTTGAATATCTTTGCACTTTTTAGAAAGGCGCTGTTGACGTCACCGTCACTCTTTTTCCAGATATTAGATATTCTCCATAATTCTGTACTCACATAGTCCTCGCGCCGTGTCTGATTGGGAAATAAACGGAGCATTGTTGGTCATACAGCGGCCGTTGTCAACAGACTGTTGTCATGGAGACAGGATGGACATGCAGCTCTTCTCCACAGCGCACAAACGCTTCTGATCGCACAGCTAGCACCTTGCTGGAAAAAACGGCCAGTGGACACGGGGCCTAAGATACAGTGGGTACGGAAAGTATTCAGACCCCTTTACATTTTTCACTCTTTGTTTCATTGCAGCCATTTGCTAAAATCAAAAAAGTTCATTTTATTTCTCATTAATGTACACTCAGCACCCCATCTTGACAGAAAAAAAACAGAAATGTAGAAATTTTTGCAAATTTATTAAAAAAAGAAAAACTGAAATATCACATGGTCATAAGTATTCAGACCCTTTGCTCAGTATTGAGTAGAAGCACCCTTTTGAGCTAGTACAGCCATGAGTCTTCTTGGGAATGATGCAACAAGTTTTTCACACCTGGATTTGGGGATCCTCTGCCATTCTTCCTTGCAGATCCTCTCCAGTTCTGTCAGGTTGGATGATGAACATTGGTGGACAGCCATTTTCAGGTCTCTCCAGAGATGCTCAATTGGGTTTAGGTCAGGGCTCTGGCTGGGCCAGTCAAGAATGGTCACAGAGTTGTTCCGAAGCCACTCCTTTGTTATTTTAGCTGTGTGCTTAGGGGCATTGTCTTGTTGGAAGGTGAACCGTCGGCCCCGTCTGAGGTCCTGAGCACTCTGGAAGAGGTTTTCTTCCAGGATATCTCTGTACTTGGCCGCATTCATCTTTCCTTCAATTGCAACCAGTCGTCCTGTCCCTGCAGCTGAAAAACACCCCCATAGCATGATGCTGCCACCACCATGTTTCACTGTTGGGATTGTATTGGGCAGGTGATGAGCAGTGCCTGGTTTTCTCCACACATACCGCTTAGAATTAAAGCCAAAAAGTTCAATCTTGGTCTCATCAGAGCAGAGAATCTTCTCTCTCATAGTCTGGGAAACCTTCCTGTGTTTTTTGGCAAACTCTATGCAGGCTTTCATATGTCTTGCACTGAGGAGAGGCTTCCGTCGGGCCACTCTGCCATAAAGCCCCGACTGGAGGAGGGCTGCAGTGATAGCTGACTTTGTGGAACTTTCTCCCATCTCCCTACTGCATCTCTGGAGCTCAGCCACAGTGATCTTTGGGTTCTTCTTTACCTCTCTCACCAAGGCTCTTCTCCCACGATTGCTCAGTTTGGCTGGACGGCCAGGTCTAGGAAGAGTTCTGGTCATCCCAAACTTCTTCCATTTAAGGATTATGGAGGCCACTGTGCTCTTAGGAACCTTGAGTGCTGCAGAAATTCTTTTGTAACCTTGGCCAGATCTGTGCCTATCTACAATTCTGTCTCTGAGCTCCTTGGGCAGTTCCTTCGACCTCATGATTCTCATTTGCTCTGACATGCACTGTGAGCTGTAAGGTCTTATATAGACAGGTGTGTGCCTTTCCTGATCAAGTCCAATCAGTTTAATTAAACACAGCTGGACTCCAATGAAGGAGCAGAACCATCTCAAGGAGGATCAGAAGAAATGGACAGCATGTGAGTTAAATATGAGTGTCCCAGCAAAGGGTCTGAATACTTATGACCATGTGATATTTCAGTTTTTCTTTTTTAATAAATTTGCAAAAATTTCTACATTTCTGTTTTTTTTCTGTCAAGATGGGGTGCTGAGTGCACATTAATGAGAAATAAAATGAACTTTTTTGATTTTAGCAAATGGCTGCAATGAAACAAAGAGTGAAAAATGTAAAGGGGTCTGAATACTTTCCGTACCCACTGTATATTGATGTAAGCATTAACAAGCTTTGTTTCACTCACTGAGAAGGTTTTTTATTTTGCAGCTGCTGTGTGTGTGTGTGTGTGTGTGTGTGTGTGTGGGAGCTGTTCACTCTGACCTCACACAGATCAGACTCAGCGCCGTTTGTTCCTCCACATGACGGTTCATTAAATCATCCTTTCACATCTGGAGCGTTGTCAGTGGTTACAAGTGAGCCGTCAATAAAACACGCTTCAGATCCCTTTTTTAGTTTGTATGAAAAATCATTTGGTCAGTTCTCATTCAATAAGAGCATTTCTGTATGGGCACCCTCCATGAGGTCACCGTGCTCAGGCCCGGTTAGTCCTGGAGCAGCGTAAGCGCAGGCCAGCGGGGGTCCTGCTCTGAGTTCAGGAGATCTGATTGTAAGTAGGCAGAGTTTCATACAGGATGATCTGCTCCAAACAGGTCAGGTGTTCAGCATGAGTTACCATGGTGACAATGCATCTTTTACAGGTATTATTTATTATAACTACAATAACTCTATTATATTTCTAATGCGTTACTGTCAGAAGGATAGGACGGACGGACACAACATAAAACACGTCTGGTCAAGCTGTCAACCGAACAGCTGATTAAAAAGGAAAAGAAGAAATAACCTGATGTAACAAGTTAGCTTTGGAGCCTCAAATCTTAAAAACATGAAACCTGAGCGGAGGGTTAAAAACACGCAATGAGGGGTGGAGCAAAACTTACTCTTAGGTGGCCACGGTTTGGGGACCCACTCCGCCTTGGGTCTGGCCTTGATTTCTGCAACACGTTCATTGAACCTGGAGTGGTCTGAGGACAAGGTACTGTACGTCTGTAAAGAGAGAAAGAGGGAAATCTTATTTTTCTGTCCTCAAACTAAAGATTTAGATCACAGATATTTTACAGAGCAGATTGTTAACAAGTTAAACATAGATGGGGCAGTAGTCTGTTATGATACGAGAAGACCATTTTCACACCGCTGTCGGTCACCACTCGTATTATAGGTAGTCTACTAATGGAGAATAATGTCTGATAAAAAGTTAAAAATGGCAGCTCTCAGCTCTTGGTCTTTTAGTGGAAAAAGAAAAGAAGAGGCTGAGGAGACAAATAAGGAGAAACCACACTAATGGGTGAAAGCATGGACACTACAGCGGCATGCTCAAGGGGCTTTACAGAACCTGAGAGGAGAGCTGGAGAGAAATGAAACCTCTGAACAGCCAATCAGAGAGATTCCTCTGACCAAAGCAAAAAAAAAAAAAAAGGCAGACGAGGGCCGACGACCACTCACTGACCGACGACCTCCTCGGTGTGTCAGGGCCTTTAGTGATTATCTTTCCACAATTACAATGAAACAACGCTAACATGACCCACACGTCTCCCCTGGTTGCCTAGTGACATCGTCAGCATCGTGGCGCTGCTTGAAACATGTTTATAAGGAAAGAAAAACTACTTACATACGACACAGAGGCCACAAGGGCTCCTCCACACAGCAGGGTGTAGACGATGTTCTCCACCCCAGGGCCACCGGGGACCGACGACATCTGCCGCTGCTGCACAGCTGGAGGGGAGGAGGACACGTTAGAGCTTTTACAAATACCTCAATACATTTTTTGTGACTCTTAAACTATTTAAAATGTATTGTTCCTCTGATTCATTAGACGAGGTTCCCTTATCGATCAAACATGCTTCATTTGTGGAGACGCTCTTTCTGAGCACAGCGCTTCCACACACACACTGAATTACTTAGTGATTAATCTCTCACTCAATAAAAGCAGTTATTAAAGAAAACACAGACACACATCCTGAGGAAAGATAAAGTTTTTTTTTGCTTTGCCTCCATGTTTCCACACTTTGCCCCTGAATGGACTTGGATGCATCAAGAAGAGTGATGCTTAAAGAGCAGCTCTCTGGTGAGGAGGCACCGTCAGGCTCGTGACTCCATCTACAACTGGATTTTAAAGAGGACATATTCTCCCTCTTCTCCACCTTTTCAAACAGTCCTCTGTGGTCTAAATGAAACATCTGTGCTGTGCTTTGGTCAAAATATAACATGAATTAAGCACCAGAGGAGGTTTGTGACCCTGTATAAACCAGCTCTCTCAGAACGCTCTGTTTGGTGTGTGTGTGTCTCTTTAAATGTAATGAGCCCCCCTTGAGTTTTCCTGGATGGAGTGATGTCATCCAGAGTCCCTGGGTGGAGATACCAGGAGAGGGGAGTTTTTAATTTATTTATTTTTTTAAATCAGAATCCAGATTGTGACATCACAAATTGAGAGAATAGAAACAGAGCATTTTTCTGTGTTGTAAGACTTATGTGGTCGCATGTCGACCACATAAATTTGTCGACATGCAACTCCCAAACAACTAGATTGTCCCACACTCCAGTCTAGTGGTGGCGGTAATGCATCAGAAAGCTAGTCGCCGATCGCCAGGAGGCTAGTGTGTATATGAACAGCATTGTCTCAATGATTGTTAAGGACATGAGGCCCCTTGCTATTGTTGAGGGTGAAGGCTTCTGTGAAATGGTAAATACTTTCCATCCAGGACTACTTTACTGACTTGATGGAGAGGAAGTATGTGGCTACCATGGACAAAGTGAACTTAAAAAAAAAAAGCACATCCAAACTATCACTATAACCCTTCTTGAAGAGCAATGCTATAAGTGCCATGTTACAGAAAGGTTTAATAAATATTGAATGTTTTGATATCCTTATTGTGTGAATACTTAGGTCGATGAAGTAATGTGAAATAATCGATACCTGAAGAATAAGTGGATTTTTCAGAAACTGTCCCCTTTCAGTGTTAAGAGTTAGATTGTCAGAATGATGCATGTCAGCGCTTGTTTGATGCCTACAAGGTGATAACTTCCACACCTCTGAAATTAAAGACAGCCCGGGTTTTATGCCAACAGTTTTCAACATGCTCTGCAAACAGCTTAAACCAGTCAGTAAAGTTTGTGCTGCACGTTCAGCTGTTAATGTGTGAAAGTCTCTGGCCAGATTTTTATTTAACCGTGTTAAAGAGCATTTCCATCTTAGCAACATGTTGACGTTCCTCTGAACAAGCAGCTGCAGCGCGGCCATGTCAGGTGCTGAGGGTATTAAACTCTTCATATTCTCAGGATCTAATCCAGAGTTCAGGGCTTACACCGTGACTCCCTACAGCCCTGTTATTTATACTGGCTAATCGGATCATGTCTTGTTGAGTTGGGGGGATAAGGTGGTGAAATTTCATGACCAGTGGACGGAGCCAAGGTCAGGAAGTCACCGGATTAGAGACTGATACCCTCCTCTTCTTAAGTGGGACCACTGGAGAGGAGGACGGCTACGACATCAAGGTCTGGGGTCCTGCTAAAGTCTCATCACAGAGGACATTTCTGATGTAATCTCTTTACAGGCTCCATGGCATGTGAAGGTGCCGCCTCACTTTAGGTTTAAGACATATTTATACTCAATAACCCGTCAAGCACAAAATCCATGGCTCCATTAGTCTTGTGTTACACAGGACTTAACCCTCACTTGTTCTTTCCTTTATGTTGCTTTCTACTATCTGCAATGTTCAGCACTTTGGATCAACTATGTTGTGTTAAAGTGCTATTTAAATAAAGTTGAGGTGAGGTTTGGGCTGCTGAAACAGAATCCTAAAAGACGTTCCCTGAAGCAGCCTGATGAAGAGGAGCAGCCAGGACGAGGTTCAATAACACAAGCCCTCCTCACATGTATACAAAAACTACAGAAAACTTCCCGTGGTTTGCAGAGTGATTTTTTAAGCTCTCGGTTTTTCATTTGGTCGTGAAAACAGTAAACAAAGACATCCCTCAGGATTTCAGAAGCTCTGAGAGGCTCTTTGCAGTTTTTGTCGACTAAAATATTAACTTATTAAAAGGGGACATCATCTTGTACAGTGTTTTTGAACATTTATTTTGGTATCCTGAGTGTCTACTGACCCACAAAATGTGAAATAAATCCATCCAGTTCTTTGTTTGTGGTCTGCATAAGTCTTACAACACAGAGAAAAATGCTCCGTTTAAAATGTGCTCTCCTTGTGATGTCACAGTGGGATTCTGGTAAAAAAAAAGTGGGATCCTGATATCTCCACCCATGGGGTGCATTTGGATTGTCCCTCCTATCTCCTTTCACTATCCACTTTACCTTAAACCCCGGGGAAAATGTCATGAGGTCAAGGAAAGATGTTAGGAGAATTCATAAAGGACTGAGGGAAAGGCGATCTCGTTGCTCTGACAATCCGACCACATTTCCAATAGGAAACGTAATTATGCGACGGTGGAGGTTAATGACGTGGGTCTGCCGTGGTGAAACTACAACGTTCTGAAAATGGACCAGTAAAAGTGCATCTAAAAAATGTTGAATAATCATCATCTGGCTAAAAGCGTCCCTTATCCCTTCATCCCTTACATGATCTGTGTCACTTTTCAGCTCATCTTTCATTTCCCTGAATGGTCTGGTGCGTGAGTCGCTTTAAATGTTGTGGCTGAAAGGAATTGTGGGACGGCATATCTCATCTCCTTTCTTAAAGGATGGTCCAGCGTATCCTATGCTAAAGGAGGTTATGAAGGAAGCATTGACCCACCTTTCCTTAGTTTTGGGAGAAATGGAACAGCTCTTATCACTTAAACATTCATTTCACTCAGTTAGCAAACCTCCTAAGCAAAAAAGACAATTGGAATGCACCCCTGGACTCCACCCAGCGTACAGCAAAACTTTTGTGCATTTCCAAGAGGAGTGATGTCTACTGGGAAAACTTGGGGGGGGGGGGTCATGCTGTATTCATGTGGTGTTTGACAAATCAGAAAAAAAAGGAGTTTCCGAGTTGTAAAATGCACATGAACACCTGCTCGAAACAACAACTTGGAAAAGAATGAGGTGCCCGACTTTATCATAATCGTCAAGTATTGCACATCAACTTTTTGCTCAAACATCACTTTTAACAGAAACATTTCACTGATCATCTTCAAAGCATCAACGTTTTTGTGCTATTGTTACAACTTTCCGACTTGTGATATCATGTGAACACACTGAAGTCGGAAGAACGATTTCCCAAATCGGAAACCTGAGCAGCACATGAATGCAGCATCATTGCATTTAAAGAGACACACACACCAAAATGGAGCGTTCTGAGAGAGCTGGTTTTTGATTCATGTTATATTTTGACCAAAGCACAGTACACATGTTTCATTTAGACCACAGGGGACTGTTTGAAAAGGTGGAGAAGAGGTTTAAAATGTCCTCTTTAAGGGATGGGCAAAATAGTTACTAAAACATGGTACAGACCCAAAGAGCCTTACAGAAAATATTTGCAACAGCATAAAAAAAAAAATCAAAATCATTAAAAGCAAAAATAATAGATAACAGAAAGGATCAAAACTTACAAATTCAATAATCAAACAAAGAAAACGCTCAGGATGTGTGGCGTGTCTGTAGGGTTAGGATTATAGACAGTCTCCTTTCTTGCATCTCACTGACTGATAACTGACTGTTTTAAAGATTGCTGTTATAAACAAGTCATTCAATCCAGCGATTTAACGCGTTTAGATCACAAACTGATTCACCTTTAATTAAAACATTCTGCTTATCAGGTTCAATGATAATTAAACACTGCAGGTCCGAGGAAGAGAACCATGACGTCACAAAACATCTCAAGTGAGGACAGAAGTGAAAACTAAATTATTTCTTATTTTCATCTCTGACACGCACAGTTCAGGTGTTTCCTTTCCTCGTCCACGGTAACACAAAGTGACGTCATCGTCCAAGCGGCCACCGACCGGCTCGTGGCGCAGGGTTTTTTTTAACAACTGGAGGTAAAAGGAGCTCGTGCAGCCCCTCCTATTGACTCTATACATTCACGTCACACCCCTACACACCACGTGACTGACAGCGGCGACCATGTTTGCATGCTCACCCAGTGCAGTGAAGGTCATATATAAAAGTGAATGCTCTTTAAATTCATGTTAAAGTCGACGAGGAATCTTTAAATGACAGACACTTCAGAGGTTACACTTCATCTCGTCCTTCTGATTCAGTTTGAGAGATTTGGCCCGTGTTATCCCGGGTTAAACTGATGAATGTCATGTTTTAAGTCTGGAAACAAACTGGCAAACAGCCGGTTACAGCTCTGATCTGGCAGCCTGCTTAATACCCTGACAGAGGAGGATACAGTACACAACTGTGTGATAAGCTGCATTATGAAATACTTCAACCCGGGCTCAAAGTGTGCACCTTTATCTCCACAAGGAGCTAATTGAACCTCCAGTCAAACAAGGCACTCTTTTTAAAAAAGAAACGAGGGTCTAAAGTGTGCCACAAAAATCTGTCAAAAACGCCAAGATGACCTTCACATCGCAGCGCAGCCATGTCCATCCTGCAGTTAGTGGATGCAGCGAGGACAGAGTGTACCTTTTCACCGCACACACACCATATGCGACCCGTGGAACACAGACAAACCTCACATTCTCACACAGAGACCGCGTGGAAAAGGGGATTAAACACCTTTTTTTTTTGTTCTGTATTAATGCTTTTTTGGCGGGCGGATGAAACTCACCATCCCGGGGCAACCTGTAGGCTGCTCTCCGTGCCAAAGGCCCACACCTCTGCCAGGCCGCTCTGCAGGAAAACATCGCTGCTCTCCGAGGGCTAAGACGGGAATGCTGCACTTTCAGCAAACGCTGGATGAATGGCTGGCCCGGTCTGCTCTCAGAAACGTGCAGGGAGGCGGAGGACAGAGCCGCCCTCTGTTGTGCAATATATATAGTGCGGTGACGTTGTATGGAGAGTGTTTAGTGCCACGATAGTACGAGGAGATGACGTGTACGAGGAGATGACGTGTATGAGGAGTCATTCACAACCGGGGGAAAGGAGGTTGAGGCATTTAGTCACTTCAGCTTTAAACAAAAAACTCAGCCAATTCTCCCAATTTATGTGCGCCCTTTCAATTTTGTTCAATTTACTAAACTTTTCTGTAAATTTGACAAATCATCTTATCGTATGCACTGGATACTTAAGTTACCCTTTGGGATATCCTCATGTTTCTTGCTTTGTCAGGCCTATGACCCATCTCATGATCTCAGGTGTTGTGAGTGTGTGTGTGTGAAGATGTGTAGATGTACCTGCACTGTTTATCACTTTTCTTAACTAGTACATATTTATGGTTTTAGTAATTCACTTGTTATCATTTAATGATTATTTAACTGACATGTTTTACTGATGAATGAATGTATTTTGTTATTTTGCTACTGCATCAGAGCTCTGTGAAGTCCAAGACAAAATTCCCACTGAGACAATAAAGTTAATCTTAATCTTAATCATTGCAGAGGGGGCGGGGACCTATAGTGGGCCCTTACAGTAGGCTATAGCATATTTTGTAGCCTATAAAGTATAGTAAAGTATAGTATATATGGTATAGTGCAGTATATATAGTATAGTAAAGTATAGTATATATGGTATAGTATATATGGTATAGTAAAGTATAGTATATATGGTATAGTAAAGTATAGTGTATATATGGTACAGTGTAGTATGGTATAGTAAAGTGTATATGGTATAGTATATATAGTATAGTAAAGTATAGTATATATGGTATAGTATATATATATAGAATAGTAAAGTATAGTATATATAGTAAGGTATAGTATATATGGTATAGTGAAGTATAGTGTGTATATATAGTATAGTATATATGGTATAGTAAAGTATAGTATATATAATAGTAAAGTATATATGGTACAGTATAGTATATATGGTACAGTATTGTATATATGGTATAGTATATATGTTATAGTATAGTATATATATTATAGTAAAGCATAGTATATATGGTACAGTATAGTATATATGGTACAGTATTGTATTTATGGTATAGTATAGTATGTATGGTATAGTATAGTATATATGGTACAGTATTGTATATATAGTATAGTATATATGGTATAGTATATATGGTACAGTATAGTATATATGTTATAGTATAGTATATATGGTTTAGTATAGTATATATGGTGTAGTATATATATGGTACAGTATTGTATATATGGTATAGTATAGTATATATATTATAGTAGAGTATAGTATATATGGTACAGTATAGCATATATGGTACAGTATAGTGTATACATGGTACAGTATTGTATATATGGTATAGTATAGAATATATGGTATAGTAAAGTATAGTATATATAGTATAGTAAAGTATGGTATATATGGTACAGCATAGTATATATGGTATAGTATAGTATATATGGTACAGTATTGTATATATGGTATAGTATATATGGTATAGTATAGTATATATGGTTTAGTATAGTATATATGGTTTAATATAGTATATATAGTATAGTATAGTATATATGGTACAGTATAGTATATATGGTACAGTATTGTATATATGGTATAGTATATATAGTATAGTATAGTATATATGGTTTAGTATAGTATATATGGTTTAATATAGTATATATAGTATAGTATAGTATATATGGTACAGTATAGTATATATGGTACAGTATTGTATATATGGTATAGTATAGTATATATGGTATAGTAAAGTATATATAGTATAGTAAAGTATAGTATATATGGTATAGTATAGTGTATATGGTACAGCATTGTATATATGGTATAGTATAGTATATATGGTTTAGTATAGTATATATGGTACAGTATAGTATATATGGTATAGTATATATGGTACAGTATAGTGTATATGGTATGGTATAGTAAAGTATAGTATATATGGTACAGTATAGTATATATGGTACAGTATTGTACATATAGTATAGTATATATGGTACAGTATAGTATTTATGGTATGGTATAGTATATATGGTATAGTATAGTGAAGTATATATGGTTTAGTATAGTATATATGGTATAGTATAGTATATGTGGTATAGTATTGTATATATGGTATAGTATTGTATATATGGTATAGTATAGTGTAGTATATATGGTTTAGTATAGTATATATGGTATAGTATAGTATAGTATATATGGTTTAGTATAGTATCGGCTGTATGGAGATGCAAGACGAATCCAAAGGGAAATTTAGGGAGAGAGGCAAGGGACGGAGGGAAATGCGGATTACAATGAGTGCTATTTCTGCACCATGGTCAGTTAAATGGATTTATCATTAAAACAGTTACCTGCTGATATTTAATCAAAACTAGTGCTGATATGTGTATGTGCATATTTGACCAATTCTTTGCTATTAAACACGTAGGCCCTAAGGCAGACTGAACTAGCCGGGTGGGAAACCAACTATAGAAGGCTACTGACAGTTTGACATTCAGTGATTCTGGAGGACCATACAGCCACACAGCCAAATAGGCTATACAATATAACCACACATAATCAACCCACACACAACAACAGACTACAAGTGTGCTAGCAATGGCCTGCCGTTGAAGCTGAGAGAGCGGCTGAGGGTGAGAGAGCGGCTGAGGGTGAGAGAGCAGCTGAAGCTTAGAGAGCGGCTGAAGGTGAGAGAGCGGCTGAAGCTGAGAGAGTGGCTGAAGCTGAGAGAGCGACTGAAGGTGAGAGAGCGACTGAAGGTGAGAGAGCGGCTGAAGCTGAGAGAGCGGCTGAAGGTGAGAGAGCGGCTGAAGCTGAGAGAGTGGCTGAAGCTGAGAGAGCGACTGAAGGTGAGAGAGCGGCTGAAGCTGAGAGAGCGGCTGAAGCTGAGAGAGCGGTTGAAGGTGAGCGAGCGGCTGAGGGTGAGAGAGCGGCTGATGCTGAGAGAGCGGCTGAAGGTGAGAGAGCGGCTGAAGGTGAGAGAGCGGCAAACAAACTTTATTCAGAAGATTCAACTAAACAACAAAAATTCATGTGGGGCCCTTGAGACAACAGTGGGCTCTGCCCCCACACTTGCTCTGCTACAGTGCTTTGTGTTTCCTCTTTTATTTTGGTTACTTACTCTGCATCTCATTTCAGGTCCTTTTCCTACTGTCTCCCACGTCTGTGATTACCTGATGTGTTTCACCTGTGTCAAGTTATCTACCCTCCCCTTTAGTATATACTGCACACTACTATCAAACACAACAATAACACAAACACAAAAATATTATATAGTATGACTGCCAGTCGTGATTATTCTGCAGTAAGCTGGTTCCTGGTCTTGGAATGAGGAGGTAGACAGTGTACAGTGTAGCGTCCACTCACAGTCTGAAAAAAACTGACAAGAGATTCATTTAGCTTTTCATGATTTAGAGAATCAAAAAGAAATGAGTGGTATCTTTGTGTGGTTAGGTGTGATTGTTATTATTTCCCATGTTACAACCTGTCCGTCATTTCTTCTTCTTCTTCTGTTGTTGTTTTTTTTTTAATGGCGGTTGGTATACATAATAATCGTTGCATTACTGCCATCTGCTGGATGTCCGAATCTCTGACCTGGCAGACCCCCTCCTCTGACAGGGATAATCTCCCGCTGTGAGGAGCATAATGTGAACAGCCAGGTCGGGAGAATCTCCAGAGCGGTCCTCCTGAAATGATCTCGATATTTTCAGGAGTGTAAATGTGAAAATGGCTTATGTCACGTTCAGCTCTTACGATTACTTTTTCATCTTCTCTTTGCACTTGTTAGTGACACCTACCCCAAAAGGTGTCAACTCCTGGTGCTGCTGCTTAGAGGCACTGATCACTCCTCATACATCATGGTGACTCTCATCCTCAGACTCTTTCACTGCAGAGTCACGCAAAGCACAGAAGGTCAAAGAAGACAAACTGATAAAATGATGCTGTTGTGCATTTCTCAAGAAATGAATTATTGATATGTGCTTGTGTCTGCACATCATGATACTGCTGATGTGGACTTTAAAATGTTTTCATACAAAGATCTGGAGGATTGCTCGAGGGTTTGAAAGGGTCTAATTTTAGAAAAGCTTTTTCCTACAAGACATTTAAAAAACACAAATGCACACCTATATCATTGCCAAAAGGACAGTTTAGAAATACAGCGGAGTTGTGAGCTTTTGTAGAGCGCATTTAATCTGCATGGTCTCTAATGTCCAGCAGGGGGAGACTCCACTGGTTGCAAAGAAGTCTGAGACTATGAACTTTTAATTTATCCCTTCAGTAAACATTTTTCTGATGAGTTCATGGGCTCTAGGTCATGGTGTTTGTTTTGTAGGTAATGGTCCCAGTTAGAGTAAAAAAAGACAATTAAATAAAAGGGTATGACTCGCAGAAGCTGAGACCTTTAAAATGTTTGATCAGAATTCTGTTGTAAGAAAAATTCAATCTGAGGAGTCAACAGTATTTTTCATTGTTGTAAATCTGGTTTGAGGTCTTTTGAGCTTGCAAGAATCAGCATCCTCAAGTTAATATCACAGTTAGCATGATGCACTAATGCAACTTGTTAACTGATGCACGAACACATTTTCCAGGTCCTGCTCAGACATAAATCCTTAAGTTCTTGATATGAAGACACTTTACTCTTCAGATTCACCAAATTATCCAATATGGCCACTTCTAGTCCTGAAAAAAGAAGACAACGAGAACAGCCGATGTGCAAACCTTACAGCTTTAAAACCATGTCCTTTTCTGTACAGGCTGTGAACACAGTATCAGATTTAAACTACAAACAAAAAGTGTCTCACATGTTTGCATTTTTAAACGTAATCTTCATCTTAAACAAAGTAGCCTTTATTGTAGAGATAGGACGGTGGAACGAGTCAGAAAGAGAGAGAGTGGGGAATGAACCACAGGTCGGACTCGAACCCGGGCCTTGGGGACTACAGCCCCTGTACATGGGGTATTCGCACTTACCACTAGGCTAACAGTGCCCCATGTGGTATCAGCAAACATGATTGTATATGTGCAGTGAGGATCATGACTCAGGTGTTTTACACATGGCTAATCTTTATTTTACACAGAACACACAGAATCAGCTGCATCCACAGACAGGACCGTGTGACCTCCTACACAGGACAAGAGGAGACAGAGAATCACGGGTTATTTCTTTATTCTTATATTGATTTGACATCTTCAGAATGGACGACAGTGCAGCTAAGAAAGTGTGAGACGAGACGACAGAAACACTCACAGCTGGATGTGGTGCAGCGGGTTATTCCAGACCGTTCCTCACTTTGTACTCATGGACGTCTGTGCTGTGCTGCTTGAAGAGCTGCGGGGGGGAAACAGAGAAGGCATTGAAACGTTTACATCGCAACGTTCTGGAGAATTCAATTGCACCCCATCATACTCGGAAATTCTTCATTTGCCTTGCAGAGATCGTTACAGCCTCCTTAAACAAAACTAACTAAACCCAGGATTTAAAAAAACAAGGCCGAAAACACATCAAAAGAGGGACGCCACGCGGGATGCAAAAGATTTAACACACTGGAGAGCGCAGCCTAAAAGGAAAGATGGGAAGGTGCCGAGCTGACCATGCAAAGGGCCGTCACTCTTCTAACCTCTCCTCCCAAAAACTACCTCAGAGAACAAAAGAGTGAAAACAGGACTACCCGGGAAGTCCAGCCCAAACTAAAACAACAAAACCCAGCAATATGTTTTTAGGGAAAAGAAGAAAAAGCTGAAAGGAGAAACACAGGCTGCCTCCTCTCCGTGCTCCTCATAATCCCCCTTCTCGTCCCTGAGGACACGTGGCACTCAGCTGAGCGGCGGGCAGAGGGAGGGGGGGGGAACCAGGGAGACCGAGAGAAAGAAATCTCTTTCCCAAAGTAAGCTTAGGGGGGAAAGTATTTCTGGGCTCAATGGCATCACATGTTGAAACACCCAGTTCAGACACTGGAGACCTGGTCTACACGGTTGAGTTGTGAGGGCCAATAAGGGGCCATGTGGTGGGGTAGGTAGTAGAGGCATTACTGGAGGGTGGAAATGCTGTTTTGGTTTCAGTGGAAACTAAGGGTTAACTTATCAGTAGTAGGGCACAGGGGCAGAATCAGGACAGGTTTCTAGACTGAGCTCTTATCCTTTCATGAGGGCACGAGGGTCTTGTGTGTATTTTCATTTCAAACTGAAACAGAGGTTAGTGACTGGATGTAAAAAAGGAGTATCCCAGAGAAACTGAGTCTATCTAATTAAAGGTGGGGAGGGGGTCACCTCTCTGTGAAAAAGAGCTCAGACAAAGAGTGCAACATTTGAGGAATAATGTGTCTGGCAGGATTTCCTCGTCTACAGTACCTACTATCATTCAAACATTCAGGGACTCTCTGTAAAAACAATGATTGTACGACTGTGCTCTTCTGTCTTTTATTTACACAGAATCCAAATCTATTTAGAAACACAGTCGTGTTTAGGCGATACACTTGAAGAAGAAGCGAGAGAGATTCGTGTGAAATGAGTCCGTTACTCACCAGGCCCCAGAGGAAAGCAGCTGATCCAAAGGCAAGACCAACTCGCAGCCAGTTAGGGTTGGCCAAGTCCGGCTTGGAGCTCGTGAACGCAGACCTGGATCCCACTGTCAAATCAAAAAAAATGAAAATCATTCTAAGAGGCATGAAGAGCTGTTTTGTACTTCAGTAAGAGTAACAACGCGATATTAGGGTTACCTTACCAGAACTTAAACTTCAATGTGATACCAATCAGACAATGTTGATTTCTAGTTCAATACAATGGCAACAAAAATAGAAATCCTAGGCGCTAAATATTGGGAATGTTGTTGTTCTTAATTACAAAACAATGCAGACAAACTTCTGTTTTTTACAAAGTAGGACAGATATATCGACAACGTTCATTTGTATATGAGTCCTGCACACCTGTCTGATGATGCAGATGTACTTTTTGTACTTTCCAGAGACTGCATTGTTTTAAAACACACAGTATCGAAAAGGAGATTACCTTCATCATCCCCATTATCACTTTTTCTCGATATTTTTGCTATTTTGTTGTCAAATCAAGAATTAATTCATTCTGCAACCACTATCAAGTGTTTCTCTGCCGACTTCCTGATCAAACATGTCAATAAATATACAGTAGAAGTATAAATGAACAACGAGTAATCACTTTGCACATTTTGTTAAGACACACATGAAAAGCAGGTTCTTCTCTATGACAGCTGGGCTACAGGTATGCTAAGCTAAGCTAAGCTAAGGTCAGACCGCAGAATAAACGCGCCGTCACGATTACAAACACTCGTATTAAACACAAGTCTTTCCTCCCCACATTACGAACACATGGACATTATGCCTTCGTCGTACCTCTGCTGACTTGAACAGCTCGGTGAAATAACCGGTTGAAAGTCATTTTAGCTGAAGAGCAGTGGTGTCCGATCCTGCCACTCTGCGATCGATTAAACACTCTGGAAGATCAGAGTAGAGGATCCCAGAGTCAACGATACGTCGCTTCAACACGCCTGGGACAGCATTCACAAACATTTCCTCAAGATAAAACTCAGGAAGATTCTTAATAAAGAAGTTGGGAAGTTCTTACGAATGTTCTGAAGTTTAATTCCTGATTGTTTCTTTATTTTCTAACTTATGAACTTCTCAGATGCTGTAGAGCAGATTTAAGCCCCGTTTCCACCACAGGTCCACAGAACTCAAAGGTTCAGGGGCTTCTCTTCTATGAACTAAAAGGTTCCTGCCACCGCTGCCTGAAGTCCCTGGGAGATTATGTAAATCAGGCTGTATGACTTTGCAAATGGTGTCATTGGTCAACAATGGAAAGGAGACGAGTGCTGTGTTTAGTGTGTCATTAAAGGAAAGAGGACTCTGATAAAAAGTTAGAAGAACTAACAGATACCTCACTCCCCCCACACCTAAAAAACACCTTTTAGGAAGATAAATTATATTAACCCCTGTGATGAATGTCTTAAAGTTATTATGGGGGGGTATACTTCATGATTTTGACATTTAAACTTTAGAACATCTGATTTTATTTTTTTATTGTGAATACACAAGAATTTTAAAATTGGTCACCACAGATAGAATACAAAAGATGTGTTTTAATGGAGAATAAAAAAATAAAAAGTACAAGTCACACATTATTTTGGTTAAACCATTCAAACATAAATGTAGATTATTTCTGTAGAAGTCAAACCAAGTTTTTACCAAGTGGATAAACTTTAAATACACTTAAATTAAAACTCAGCAAGTTTAAGAGATAAGGACCAACCATCAGTCCTGGGGGGACAGGACCTTCTCCATTGCAGCTCCCATCCCATCCCCACCTCACTTTCCACCTTCAAGAACTCACTTCAACATCGCCCACAACCACTAACAATCTCAACTCTCATCCTCCTTCTCTGACAGGATTTTATCTTTGTTTTATTTTCGTTGTTAAGCCTCTTTGAGTATTTAGAAAAGCGCTATAAAAGTCTAATGCATTATTATTATTATTGATATAAAATAATAAAACATTTGACTTTAAGAGGCCTAATCAATGACATGAAAATGGACCTCCTCTTCTTATCTTTGGAGGATGATATTACATAAAAAAATATATTCATATTTTATTATGCACAGCTTTTTTTAAGCCTTTTTTGAAAGAAAACAAATCTAACAATCATTTAAAACTGAATTACGACCAGGGAGTTATGTGTAGTGCATCCTAGATTGCTTGGTTATGTTTTATTGACTTATTTATTTGTTACTGTTGTCCTTAAACCGTGCTTTTCATCTTGCCTGGCCCTTGTGGGTGTCATTACCCAAAGAGACCACACATGAGTGCTAAGTCCTGATTGGTTTGTTGTCTCTGACTCCATCTGATGTCTGATTGTAAAAAGTATGCATGCTCTGGGTGGACTGTGGAATGGAGTTATCCTCTGGGATAAATACAGTTTTCCAAGTCTAAGAAAGCCATGAAATAAAAGGAAATACATTATTATTAATTACATAGGAAAACATTAAACATTTTAAATCAAAATTAAACGAGAGACTTGATAAATATTCAGATTTTATACGTTTGAATAATCTAGTAACAAAGATAACTCATTCAGAAATTCAAGAATGAGCAAATGAATGCGAGGTCAAATGCTGCATTCAAGTGCTCCATGGAAAGTTGAAAATATTTTTTTTGTGTTGAGTGTTTAAATTATTTAACAACTCCAACTTTTTGTTTCAGCTTTTCAAAAACAATGAACTCTTTATTGACCTTCATTTTAGATTTGTTTATTTTTTAGGATCCTCATTTAGTCCATGGGCCAGACCAGATTCTGTGACCACTCGAGGTGGTAAAATGAAGTAATAATTTTTGAAAATGTCCACGTCTGTAGAAGATATTTTGGTATGATGACTCTCCTGAGTGGCAGCTGAGTCACAGTAACCAGCTCTTGAATAGAATAGAATAGAATAGAATAGAATAGAATAGAGTTACTTTATTGATCCCAAACTGGGAAATTGTGGCGTTACAGCAGCAGGTTGTCCAAACACACAATATGAGTAAAAAAAAACCATGTTAGTAAATCTAAACACAATATGATATTAAATACAAAGTAAATAAGCACTGAAAATATCAAAACTAAGAATGGGAATATATACAACCAGGATTTAACTCAGCATTACTAGTCTTAAATATGAAAGATTAAATGTAAATGTGCAAAAACAGAGTTGTAAATGGACAGTATTGACATAGTGAGCTGTCCAGAGCTGTACAATCAGTGATACTATAAGTTAAAGTGCATAAGTGTAGACATGTTATCAGCAGAAACTATACAATATAACAGCGAGTAGACAGACAAATGAAGTGAACTTAAAGTCTCCTTCCTTTCTTTCTTTCTTTATTCATTTCTTCCTTCCTTCCTTCCTTCTTTCCTCCCTCCCTTCATTTATTTATTTAAATAGTTATCTATTTTGTATTATATAGTTTATTTAATTCATCGTCCAAACAAAACAATTAAATAGAAACAAAAATCTGGAATGAAATAACAATGATCTTATATAATGTACCCGTCTTTCACGAGGGGTGGTAGTGTTTCTTGAGGAAGAACTTCAAATACACTAAAAATAACTGAACTGAACCAGCGGGAAACTCATATTTCCGATTATTCCGACAGCCCATGAACACAGGGTCAGCGAGCAGCCTGACCCGGAGGAGAAGCGCGTCGGCCATTTTCCTCGGAAGGGGGCCTCGGCTTCAACACGTGAGAGAGAGGAGCCCGAAGAGACTGAAACAGTCCAGCATCTCTGACTCCCGAGAGGATATCCTTCATGTGTGGACCGGCAGAGGCATAGAAAGCCAGCACAATGCCCACAATCACTCTACCGCCGAAGGAGAACGCACTCTTCAAGAGGATACTGGTAGGGAGATGACGTTAGCATGCGGCTAATGCTAGTTTGTGAAGTAGCCGTCAGAGCAGGTAGCTAGGAGGTAACCAAAAGATTCAGTACACCAAACGCCCTGTAACACCCACGTCTCTTTGATATACTAGTAGAAGTCATTCACAAACGGAACAGTTGCCTGGCAACCAGTAATGCGGTGTAGTATGTGGCCCTGTAACATGACAAAGTGTATCAATGACAAAGCTGCTCGACACACCTGACCAGGCTTCATAGTTCACATCCCCGTATCATAAAGTTATTTGATGGAACTGTCTGAAGTTTATCAACATTTGTATTAAGGTGGTCTAAAAGTTCGTTACTTTTCGTTACAGTGCGTTTAACATCATTTAAAACCTGTTTATTTTATGGTCGAAAAGTACAGAAAACATCTGTATCATCAGACAGGTGTGCCGGAGAGAATTGAATCCATGAAAAAAAATGCAGGCATGCACACCGGAACACTGTCAATGTTTTAGTGCAATTTAGCAACAATTGAGTTTATCTGCAGCAGTGTTCGTTAATACAAACAAGACATTTCCCCAATATCTGGTGCCATGGTATCAAACAGGTTTCGAAATAAATTTAACAAATTGAAGTTTAAATTTCTGGTATCGTGAGAAACCCTTTATGTGGCTCTTAATATTTGTTTAAAGTTTGAATCATTCAGGTCAGCACTCACAGGTCCCTGCTGCAGGTTCTTGTCAAACCAGGTCTCCTTCACTGATTTGGTATTTTAACATTCATCCCACCTTCACTTCTTTATTAACAAGACATGGAAAAGCTTAAGTCATTTTGTTAAGTTGGATCCTCTTTGAAAGATAAAAAGAATAAATCAAACATACTAACTCAAACCGGCTGTGGCTCAGTTGGTAGAGTTGTTGTATCTCAACTGGAAGGGCGAGGGTTTGATCCCCAGCTCCTGCAGCCACATGTCCGATGTGTCCTGGATCAAGCTGTTTAACAAGTTGCTCCTGCTGCTTCGTTGGTGGTGAGAGAATGTGGATGGGATTAGTTTCTTCTGATGCTCTCTGTACACAGCAGCCTCTACCATCAGGGTGAATGTGTAGGTGTGACCTGCTGTGTAGAAGAGCTTTGGACCAAATGGACTTTTGGTCAGAAGACCAAAAGTCCATTTATCATTAAAAAAAAATCCGCTTTGTTGTTGCCAATGTTTTTGTGCAATTAAGACAGCAATTATTGGGGGCACAGGTGGCCTAGTGGAGAGGCTTGGTCCTTGAGGGCTGGCGGTCCTGTGGCTCCTTTCCCGTCTGTTGTTCCCCTCTCTCTCTGTCTCCCCGGTGTCCGAGTCTACCCTCTGCCCTGTCCTCAGAGAAAGGCATAAAAACCCCAATAATACATCTTAAAAAAAGAGTCAGCAATTATTGTTAATTAAAACCAACAAATGACCCATTATGAGTCCCTCTTTTATTTTTATCGCCCTGGTATCAAAAAAGATATCGATATCGTCTGGATTTATCTTATCTCTGTTCATCATTCTGGTAATGGGACGTCCTTATTTGGGATAATTGTCGAATACATTGAAGAATACAATTTTTTTTAAATCAACTTAATATTGCAATACTGTGCAGATGTTATTTCCCCTTCCCCCTCCATTGTTTCACAGAACACAAATAATCCTCCCGGGGACTCGCTGTGCCCGTTGCCTGTCAGTCATGGAGATATGTGAATATATTGTAGGGTATGTTCCCCGTGTCTCCACTAGAGGGGGCTCCTGTCTACACTGAGCCGGGCACATTCCTCTGATCCCTTGTCTGATCACATCTGCTCCATTTATTTTTCAGATCTTAGCGTTGACATGTTACCCGGCCACAGAGGTCATGTTTGCTGGATGTGTCTCTTTGCTCGTGGCAGAAACTCTCTTCATACACTTCCACAAGCCTCTGTGAGGGTCAGTGCAGGAAAGAGCGGCAGGCTGTCGGCCCTCAGATGTCTGATCTTAAGTCTGCTTTGTCTTTTCTTTTCTGTTTTGCAGAGATGTTACGAGCACAAGCAGTACAGAAACGGCCTGAAGTTCTGCAAACAGATCCTGG